CATTTATTTTCGAGTGACTTTAAAGGCCACCCTAACAACTACTGAAATAACCAATCAGACTACTGTATTTTATGAAAATCAGCTTTTCCAGTCGAAATGAAGAAATTTAATTCGATATTTTGACCGTTGATAGGGTGGCCTTTAAAGCTGCCCTTTATATCAAGCCTAAACTTCAAACTTGTTTGATCATAACTCTCAAAGTGTAAACTTCTATATTTTTTAATTATTTTAGCAACTTATTTTTAAAGAATGGAAATATTAAAATCGGTGACTTTGGCATTTCACGTTCCTTGTCTACAACTAATGAACTAGCCACTACATTTATTGGTACTCCGTACTATATGAGTCCAGAGATTTTGAAATATGAAGGGTACAATAATAAATCAGATATTTGGTAAGTTATTCGTTTGACTGTAGAGTCTTTGCACACTTTTATGACAGGTCTACAGCATACAGAAAACGAATGAAACTCACTGTTATGATTTGTCGCTGAGTAATGAACGGACTTGCGATGCATCCGGAACATAATATATGAGTCTTCTTATGAAGTAGGGAGAAGAGAAAGGGTGTTTAACTTTGACACTGGATATCTCAGTGGCAAACAGGGTCCACTCCCACAACATCTCAAAGTTACTTGAATCTGGTGCTGTCAACAATGTATTGAAACACCTAGATAGGGATCCATGGGCCAACATAGTCTGGCTTTAGCTCTAACTACGTTTTTACTATTGGACCTCAAACTTCTAGGTGTAGCACTACTAGGTATTGGTATGCCTTTTTAGCAGGAACAAGAAACATATGTTGCTTACTTTATGTCAGTTAATGGTGCAGTAAAACTTCAAAATTTAGGTTTTTTTAAATAACCATCTCGAATTTCGACCTATTTTGGAAAAATGACTTCTAATTTCTTCCCACCTACTGGTACTAAATTACAATAGAGTGTGTAAGACAATCTCTACCCGATATAGATGACAGTAAAACACTTTACCTACTTTAAATAAAAATATGAACAGTACAGAAGATGTGTGGCTGAGGATGAGGATGGTAATTATTTGATGTTTTCTGAGCTCTGAAATTTGTTCGTGGACGTTTCATTATCAGTCTAGGAGACCTCGTCAGTATTAACTTCATAAAACCAAAATCACTCCTATATGTAGACTGAAGTAAATTGATTTGGAAAAATATAAAAAAGCAATCCTTTACAGATATTTTTATTTGTTGATTAATATGACTAGATGTTGCCGGTTGCTGTCTGCCAGATAAATCTCAATATCTCCATTTCTGAATGAATAAATGATGGGTCTAGTTTAGTTACATCTCTTTTGTGATACAACTATTTTCTGACTAAAACAACTTACTTCTACGTAAGTAACCCTATGCTGTAAAGTAAAAAGCTTCAACCTGGTGAAACATCTAAGAAAGCCTACTTTTAGTGATCAACAAGTTATTGGAATACACCATTTCCAGAAAAATATCGTCTTATTTGATCATTATACTGCCATTTTTTCCTTATATCCACCGTCGTTTTTTGAACCAGTCTTAAAGATTATCTAGCTTACTAGTTTTCGAAAGACCTGTATATCGTGAAAATGAATGTGAATGATCGTCTTAAAGTCCCAAACTATTTGTTTGCATATTTAGTAAATGTTTCAGTATTACACTTTTATAGAAGGGAATTTACTTGTGCAGATAGTACTGTTGTTACCAAAGTTGTATGACTGTTATTGGTAACCAACATTATCATTGTAATGAATACCATCTTTTTCAATTACTTTAGGTCCATTGGAATAATTTTATATGAGTTATGCACCCAGAGAAGAGCATTCACAGGAACTAACTTAATGCGTGTGATGTGGCAAGTGATAAACGACCCATGTCCTCAACTACCTGAAATCTACTCTAAGGAACTACAAGAAGTTTTAGAACTGTATGTTATTTTTAAAAATATTTAAATTGTACAGGATACTGTTTCACTGAAAAACTACGGCATGGACTGGTATGATTACTTTTCCCAGTAATGTGTCACAATGTCACCAGGAAAGTAGACAAAATCGTCTGAACTTGTACCAACCATATCATTTTTGTCTACAGTACCAAACGAGCTGACATGCATTTTCGTAAAGTCGTTGATTAAAAAACATCACTTGGTTAAGCTTAAAGATATCACAGTCTTCTATTTTAAATTCATATCGTAGGACTAAGTGAAGAAAATAAACAATACCAGTGAGTAATTCATTGGAAAGAATATTGGCTTACGGCTTCCAAAACGAAATGCCAAAACTGATGCCGTCTGAATGAGTCAACAGCTTGACTTCAATATTGCTGGAACTATTCAATAAGTTTAGGATATATCGATATAGCTTTTATTAAGAAACTATCTTAAGTATATTTTATAAAAAGGTTAGGTGTTTTCTTATTAGATCAAAGCTTTTTAAAGTGCCAGAGCAAATTCAGCAGCATCATCGTAAAGCGTTTCTTTTCCAACAGGGTACTTCAAATTTAATAAATATACCTGAGAACATAGGATCAGTAGCCGGCAAAAGTCATCTACCGGTTAATGTTGATCCCCCTCCCTTACCACTAACTGATGAAAAGAATTAATTTTTCGAAAACATGTTCGCTTTAACATGTCTAACAAACCAAAAGCTAAATGTGTCCTAATTATTGGTTTTAGCAGACGTTTTAGTTATGAATTGAATTAGGTATATGGAATAGGATAATTAAAAAGGGATCTATTACTACAGATCCCTTATACTGTAGTAAAATTCCTCCTTTTTTACCCAGAATTGCATGAATAAAATACGATGAAGTTATTAAAACGAAAGGCGATAAATTTACCAACTCTTGTTCTCTCTAAAAGCATATTACAGAATACCATTTTCATAACAATGTCTTGTTAAGTTTCTCAATCTTTATTAGAGTATGCTGTTTCAAAGTGGTCTACTTTTTAAAAACAGTAAGTTATTTAATGCTACCTTAAAAAATTCGAAATGGTAAGTGTAGAATCTGAGCACTTTGATAGAATGTAATTCAGATGGTAGTGAAAAAAAGAAATATGATACGATGAGATCGATTTATTCTGACTTCATCCATTTCTCTTCATTGATATGAAATTAGAGACCAGTAACAGATATTCAATATTAGTCCACCTGCCATAAAGTGGCTTAGTTTTGAATTCATATCTATATTAGTAAAATCTGTGATATATATAATTTTCAGGCCGATTAAGAAGTTGTACTTATTTACTAACCAAGTGCAACAGTCATGAGTAAGTTGAATGCGTTGGCTGATGGATTCATTTAATTTAGTGTTAAAATTGATCTGTATCTTTAAAAATTGGACTTCAATAAGCTTCCAGTGCAACAAATAAATGGCTTCTTAGTGCGCACTTTGCAAACGTTTTCAAATCTCATATTACATAGTTAATTTAAATAAGTGTTTTCTATACTCAAACAACCTTGCTTGGCATACTCAGAAACATAAGGATGAGGTCAAAGTTTTCGGGAAATATAGATTGTAATGATATCTGATTTAGTTAGATTTTTCTCTTCTAAACTGTTCTGTGCAATACCAACCACAACACTCAACATAGAACCTTTTCCGCAGTACTGTTTTACCGTAGTGATAGATTACGGATAATCGTATTTGTGATAAGCATTTAAGATAAAATTTGCATACCATATGAATTATTTCCGTAACTTTCAGCATGTTAAAGAAGGTTCCTCAGGAAAGACCGTCTGCGTCTGAGCTTCTTCAACTAAATATTATTCACTCTTACTTACGAGTAGGTAGATATTTTTCGTGTCCATTAATTGCATTGAATATAAAAAGTTTAACTTTTGATCTTACTACTGACTACTCGACTGGTTGTAGGCTAAAAAGAGAGCAATATAACTACCAAAACTATGAAGACTAATCTTTTATGTTAGGGTAATGATGACCTTCAAAGTGTGCTTCAAAAAACAAGGTACCATTCAGAAGACTATTTGAGAACTAAAAAGTGATATACAGAGGGATATGTCGTTTACAGACCGTTTAGTGGTATACTTCAGCCTTTTTTCCGATATTAAGTGTCAAAGACTTATACCGCATGACGAATACGCTATGCTTAGACTGCTTGTGATACATTACGACTTATTTTTAGATATTGTGTGCGTAAATAGCGTCTTATTCAATTCTTTCAGATAAAGTACTTGCTGTATATCCTAAAGTTAATATGTTTTTTGCCTCAGTTGTAAGATATTAGACATTTTAGACGACAAGCAACTTTTATGTTACTTGATTTTGTAGGTTGTTCTGCTGACATCACCAAATAATAAAAAATTAAAGACTTTTACAAAATCTGTTTTTGGATAGAGGCATGTTTTCCTAGCGACATTCCCTCTTGTAAATACGATTGAAGGCAGTCCAATAGCAATCAGTGATGATGATGATGATAATAATAATAATAATGATTGACAATTGTAAGACGAAATTGACAGACCATTATTCACCAATACGCCATCTACTAAATGGAAAGCATTCCATGCTGTGCTGCTTAGTTCTCGAATCTAACTGCATTTTCCTTATCAAGTTTTGCAGAAAAGCGCTAAGCGTAGTGATTTGAAATTTCAACAAATAGCAGAAAGCTGAGCTTTTACAAATTTATATTGTATTAAGCAATGCTGCGGTTGATTTTAGCATTAGATCATGATTTCATTAGAAACACATGGCCTAAACCCTTATTTATATAAAGAAAGGAACTACCATCAGCAACTACTCTAATTGAAGTGTAATTATGGCTTCATTCATTTGACTAAGCAGCTTTTCATGATGAAAGATTCCAAGAAATCCGTTCGAATTCAGAAGTGATCAACAAAAGTTGAACTTCAGTGTTCTGAAATATAATCAACATTTTCTGCCCATGAAGACTTTGACTTTAAAACTCCCTTACGCATAAAATGTTCAGTAAATATATGCAGTTCCCTATTTTATCTTTTTTACCGATGAAAAATAGTTCTTTGCTTTATGACTTCCTCATTTAAGTTCCAGAAAAAGTTGAAGCACCTTTGTAAGTTTTGCATACAAAAGTAGACTAAAGTGGATGTAATACTGAGTGAGCACTACAGACCCACCTTCTGTTTAAAATGTTACGGTAGTCTTTATTATTTGTGTTTTCCTCACTTAATCACTCAATCATTCTAATCGGATCCATGACATCTATGTTTACCCTCATCTATAGCTACATCTTTATCCATTAGTATGGTTGAATAAATAATTAATGTGCATTAAACAGATAACCTTATATACGTTGAACTGTCCAAATCCCTCATTTCGTCAATAAAGATCGTGATGCTTCATGGTTAAAATTTCGTTAAATGCTTTTATGAAGTCAATTTTACCTGTCACTTACTTTACAATAACCATTTGACAAAGATTTTCTGTCCAGCTTTTGAATGAAGGAAAGTGTCTTGAAATTAATGGCTAATTAAGAATCGTACAACTAGGTAATTTAACTAGTATTGGTGACTAGCTTTGAAACTGATTTCTTTGCACTCTATTAAAGAACGGTTACCAGGTTTACTGAGTTCATTTGACCATTAGACATATGGGTGATGGTTGCACTGTATCAAGAACAAACTGAAACTGGAGAAAGTGGACTTCAAGGCTTTGACTCTATGATTAAACAAATGTATGCCCATGATGAGGTTCTGAAGTTGTGGATCGATTTCATGTGAAATGTGACTACAGAAAACATTCTAGAAACAAAAATAATGAGCCGTTAAGCAGTAAATAAATTTTCTTGCTTCTATGGCTTTTAATTCGTCCATTCCTGTCTCAATATTTTTCCATTTTCATTCAAACTCCAACTACACTGTTTAAGAAAGTTTGGTCAATGACACTGTCCGAGATAAAAGTAATTAATTCATCTTTATTTCCACATTTTTCAAAATTATCATTCCAGTATAAGATAAAAGCTATAAATCTCAGGACATTCGAACACAAGTTATTATGTACATTTTATCATAAAGAACTTCTGCTGCTTTAATGTGTGAAATTTAACTGTTCAAACAAAACCTAATGATTTACGAAATCTACCCAGTGACTTCCTAATCATGAATCTATATGCCGTCTACAATCAAAGCTGACAAACACGGTGCATTAAATATTTCCATGGTTACAGTAAGTTCTTCATGATAGACAATCGTATCCCACATAATTGCTAACTGGCCTAGTTCGATATCTACATATTAAAAAAGTGCTGAAATGAAGCTAACAAACATAAACAAAAAGTATTTATGATAGTATCAGTCAAATTAATGTGATTATAAACATGCTTAATTTCAGTATCTTATGCCACTTTTCGGAGATCCAAACATCACATAATGATGCACAGCTTATAAATAAAGAATTACAATCAAGTGGATAAAAGACTGAATTACTCTGAAAGCACTGTGGACATTCAGTATGTTGCTATGACACGACTGACGTCAGTGGTATGATATGGTACTATATCAGGATTGTTCAGTAGTTCACAAATATTTTCATTGTGACTGAGTGCTTGGCGGTCACAGTCACTAAGTTATTATTCTTCGAATCAATATTTGGAACGCTTTAGCAAACGTTTCCCTAGACGAATCAGAGAGTAGATTGTCTACAAGTCATTACATCTTCGGACTATTAAAAACCATACAACCAGTTACCATGTGGTTACATCACTACGTAAAGACAATGCATGTAGTATGAAACAGATTTTCAAGGTAGTATTCGTAATCATCATCGTCTTAGTACGGAACTCCACAGTCGTGTGCATTCTCAACCTTTCGAAGGATCAAGACTTGAACCATCCGGTCTTACTACAGGAACGTTACCATTCAGCCATGGGAACGGAACCTAATGGTCCACATTTTCCTACTTCTTCCAATTAGCGATATAGCAGGGCCATAATCCGACCCCAGTGATGAGTATTTTTCCTCAAGTCTCATGTGAAAATTAATCTGCTTTAAATTTTAGGAGCTATACAAGGAGATCATATTCAAATGAAATCTGAGACTAGTGATGAATGTGTTGTCGATAGAGATGCAAATCCAAGGTAGGATGCTAAATTTGATGCGTTTACTTATCTACTTGGTTGATAAAGATAGCTTACTTTTGTGACTTCTTTATAAATAGCAAATGAAGGATTTTACTGAAATTGATAAAAAGAGTTCTAAATGGAAATCAACATTTTGAGTCATAAGCCGCTAAGGTAGACGTTTTGGATTTTAATTTTTCTTCCATGTTACTGTGTGATCAATAAAAACTTAATTGGACTTCGGCATAGATGAAAGCCAGTTAGATTTCTGTCAAACCGATTTCAAAGGATGCCATCAAGTTATGCTTTAGGGGAATAGATGCAATACCCAATCTACCCATACTTAGACAACAAATGCCCCTTAAAATTTATAAATCATGATAAAAAGGCGGAACAAAAAAGAACAATTATTCATTTAGTTCCAAAGAAAGAGGTATGCATTACGCTCCTGTATATTGGTGTTGAAAGGTATTTCGCGAATACATCAAACTTTTTTGATAAGCTGCGTCTTCTTCGTATTCTGTCAAAATATTCAAAACAAAAGAGATTTAGTTAAAATCTAACAGTATGATGTTCGACAGTTTTTAATATGTACCTTTACAGAACTCCAGGAAATTCTTCCTGTACTTTTACCTCAGTAACAATCTTTCCAGTTTATACTCACTGGTTATAGATTTCTCTCACCTTATTTCAAAGATGAAGTTAATCGACTCTGTCTAATAAACAGTATTCTGGTCATCAAATATGAAAATATGTATTTTCGATAATTCAGTGTACCGTTTAGCTATCCAAAATAAATGTTTATGAGATAAAACAGAATCCGCTGATTCCAAGGACCGGTGTGGGACGAAGCCGCTGAGTCAGCATAGTTCGTAGAACCTGACCTTAGTTGACTCTATCGTCACTCTGCAATGCAAGGTCACAACATAATTTTGCGTACTGATCGTTTAAAAATAGAGTCACTCGGAGAAATTCCCTACATTTGGCTTCTTAGATTAGTTTAAACGAAGTAAAAACGAAGGCTTTTGTAGAGATAAATTGACTTATTTCATAATTAGTTTTTAGCTACAGTGCAGATTTGTCCATTTGAAGATAAATGAAGGCTGAAATCTCAGAGTAATAGTAAGACAAGATAGGTAGTGAACTGGTATCCTCTTTGGCTTTCAATAAACCTGTCCCATATTTTGAAGCAAGAACTATTTTTTGGTTACTTCTTGAATTGCATAATTTGTCTCTCTGTTTATTATCAACTTAGTAGCTTCCTTATAGCATAACTAGAACAACTAGTCAAAAAAACAATTATTCCTATCTACTCACTGTTGTGACAAAATTGATGGGGGAATGTTTGCAAGGACTCTAATATATTATAAACAAACAAACCATACTACCTGGCTCCAATATATCGACAAGCCACTGGTTGTCTTTCAGTGTCTTTCAAATGCTTAAGATAACCAAACATTTTCTGTTCCATAGGCACTTTTTTGAAGTAGTAACCGAATTTATTATCCACATTACACAAATGATCATCAAAATGTCATCCAGATTAGCACCAATAATCCAAGTTTGTGTCTCCCACGAGTCAGTATGCTTAGGTACTCAACAACCATTCGACTTAAAGCTATAAACATAATGTTCATCATGTTAAATCGGTGACCTAAATATTTGTAAATCGGTGTGGTATATGGATGGTTCAGAACTTCTTAAGACATCTATGCTTAATGTAATTCAAACAGTTCACGCCTTAAGATACTGAGAAACACTCAGTAGTTGCATTCATTGCCTAAAAACTATTCCAGTAAAAATAACAATTTTGTAACTGATTATTCTGGTAAATATCAATAAATAATCACGAAGCTTTAAGTAACGGAATTCTTATCACCGATGAGACAGGTAGTTGAAATTTGATCTGAAGTTAAATAGCAATTTTTTCAAATTAAGAAACAAAGTCTCTGTATAGTAAGATTTAATAAACAAGACTTACCCGCAAATACTTCAAGTTATTGAAAAAACTGTCTTTATCTTAATCTCACCACCAGCTCGTAGGGTAATTTATCAGTTCAATTTTATTGAAAAAAAAATTTTTACAAACATTTTAGGTTCATATCGTTTGAAGAGTTCATTAATTCGCCTGATTTAATTTTACAAGAACAAAAATTACTCCAATATAACGAGAATCTATCAGAAGAGGCAGATGATATGACTGAGAAAAACACAGAAAATGTAGATCAGTACTTAACACCACGTCAAAAAATCAAAGTGAACAAAGCAACCGAGTCAGATTGGACAATTGCTACTCTAAGGTACTCAAAGTGTTTGTTATGAACAGTGTAGTTTCTAATGTCATAGTTTAATGTAGCATAATCTAGTCAGTTTATTCACTTAGACAATGATCACGCTCAGATTCAGTACGATTAAGACTTATTTGGCCGGCCAATTACATAGGGAGTAGAGGACAAGCATGGTAGTTCGGGGCTCTACTTACATTGGTATTTTTTGTCACACTGAGTAAACAAGAATCTTTACTGTCTAACCTAACAAAATGTATGTTTGCTTTTCAGTCCACCTTCCAGAAGTTCCGGTTCTAGATATCCCTACCATTCACTACCTCAGATTTTCACTGATGATATTAGATGAACTGGAAAATTTATGGGATATGAGTCATTGATTTTCGATTCATATTGGCCAGAAAGCTTTTAGAATTTAAACCTACCTTTTACTTATAGCTCAGCCTATAGGGATTCGAATGAGCAATCTGAGCCTTCATATTCAAAAGAGATTTGTTCAGTCTTTATCATTGACTTGGTCAAGGGAAACTTATCGCTTGATCTTACCCATAAATTCTTAAAATATTCTTCTTCCTCTTTTTATTTTTGTCATCGCTTTCATACCTGTCATATATTCATATTCAAATTTTATTTAACTAGACTTACTCCTTCATTATTGCACATTATATTGTCCTTTACTAAGCTCTGATCTAATTTGGTTATCTTAACAACTCTATACATTATAATGCCATACTACCACGTTTTTCATTATTCTAAAGTGTATAATCCTGGTCCTTTTTTCGGTGACTAGCTAATTACATGTTAGGAGCTGTGAACATTAAAGTAAAACCCAAGGAAATCTAATTAAAAATAATGTTGTTCGTTTGACTACCCTATTATACTATGGGAAATTTTGTTATTTTGAAAAATGATTACGGTTAGAACTCGTTGTATTTCACAGTTCTGTTCTGCAAATAAACCAATAGTTCAGTTTATCTGCTTTTCACGTATAAAACATTAATTACAGGGCACATTAGAAAAACATTAGCATAGTGTGAACTCATGTAGCATCAAATTACCTATATGGAAACTAAACAAAAGTACATCTAGAGCTTCATTATTATTTGCCCAAGACAAAATATGGTCAGGGAGAATAATGAAGTGTTCATCGGTAAGTATTTCCAACTAATTGTTTCACTGTCTACATTTTCATGAATGACTGAGTTTTCTTTTTGAATAATTTATCTCAATAAATTTAGACAGTTTTAAATTATTTGGAGCTTAATTCCTTTTTTGATGTCATATTATGCAGAAATTTAGCGGAACAATTAATATGCAGTCGGAATAGCTTGAATTCTACAAAAGGAACAGATTTGTACACTTGGCAGGTAAACTGTTAATAACCCTCATTACAATTCTTGCCATCTTTACCTATTTATCTAATTATTGTACAGGGATAATTCAACATTTTTAGACCAGAACATTCTGATACCATTTTCTAACAAGTTCAGGCTGCATTTGTTACTTCCGAAGAATCTTTACCAGCCTAGTGTTGCAAAAGTGCATTGCAGCTGATGAGTCATGAGTTACAGGGAACAATTTCATTAAAGTTTTTACACTGAAATATTTGATGAGGTTGTTCAAAAACATTCAAATTGTTAGAGAAATTTCATACTGAGTAAAAGAAACAATTAAAACGACTTTGTCGCCATTAGGATTTTTCATAAAATGTCCTATAATTTTGAGTTGAAGTCAAAATAATTTGTGTTGTAGGTTTGCATATATATCATAATCTGTGAACAGCTGAAGATTTGCATTTGATGAACTTCTTGGTATTCATAAACTTGTATGAAGTGATACCAAGAACTGTGGGAGAATAATGCTGGTTGACTTGTGAATTAAATTCAAAGACAAAAAAGTTATAATATCATGATGTACTTGACAAAAGTTTACACAAACTTTCCAAGAAGGAATGATAGAAACAATAGTAATCAGCAATATGTGACTGTTTTTATTATTATTTGTCCCTTGGGTTCCTAGCTAAACATAGGGCTTCACTACCACGTCTCCATCTCACTCTGTTCTCTGTAGTCTTTTCAACATGGCTCCACAGCTGCTCACAAGCTTTTATTTCTTCCTCACATGATCTCCCCCATGTCACCCTCTCCTCGGACGCCCAACTCATCGTTTCCCATTTGTGTTCCACTAGAGGGCCTGGCCTGGTGCGTGATCCCCCCAAACGGCCTTCTCAGTGTGTGCCCAATCCATCTTCACTTTCTTTGGCATATTTGTTGGACGACAGCTTCTGGTTGGTTCGTTCCCAGAGTTCATCGTTGCTTATTCTTTCTGGCCATCTGCTCTTCAGTATGGAGTAAGCGTAGGTGGCGGCTGTTGATGAATGTCTGTAGTTTGTTGGAAATGCTTTACATGACGCGCCAGGTTTCTGAACCATCACATGGAAACACTGACTTGACTGACTTAAAGTTGAAAATCTGGATCTTGTTCACGCTTTACGCTGAGTGAAGTGCAGTAGATCTCCACAATGATTTCAGATTAGTGAAAGCCTGTCTTGTTTTCCCGATCCTGGTTTTGACATCCTTGTCTGTGCCCCCGCCTGTAGTTGAAACGATGTGGCCTGGTGGTAGGTGAAAGAGACTACTTTCTTTAGGTTTCTTCCGTTGATGGTGATTAGTGTTTATTGTTAATGTCGTTGGTTGGGTAACTTCACCGCCTCTGTCTTCTCTATGTTCAATTAGAGTCACGTCTTCGCTGCCTCTTCTGTCAACTTGTAGGTTTTCGCCTGTAGATCTTCGAGCTTGTGCGACATTAGACATAAATCATCATCGGCGGTGAAATCCAAATATTCTAGGCTCTTTCCATCGTTCCAGTCAGCGTATGCCCATCTTCTCACAGCTCCTCATGGTTTGCTGCATGATCCATTCGACCACAATCAGGAAGATCATGAGTTATAGTAAGCGGCAACCTTGTCTTACTCCTCTCTTCGCTTCAAAGGCGTCACTGAGCTTTCCATTATGAATCACTTGGTATATAGCATCACATACCATAGCATAAAGCTGCTGAATGAGGTTGATAAAGGTTTGTGGCACTAAAACCGTAATGTTGAAGCAGCTGCCCGCCAAATTACTTCTCGGTCGACGCTGTCAAAGGCCTTTTCAAAATCAATGGAGTTGAGGTAGAGATCCAGTTGACTGTCATTCTATACTCTGTGATGATGACGATGATGATGATACGTAGTGTAGCGTCGCGCTGCAATTTGATCCGCACATGATTTGTACTTCCCGAATCCAGCCAGCCAGCCTGTTCCGGTCGTAGTTTTGAATTCAGCGTATCCTTTAGTCTCTCCAGAATGATGCGGCTTAATATTTTGCTTGCTCTAGGTGAACAGGAGCATGATTCCTCGCTAGTTCTTGCAAACACTTAGATCTCCTTGTTTGGGAGTTTGACAAGGTAGCCTTTCTTCCAACCAACCTGCAGAAGTAATTCCTTCTTCCTTTGAAAGCCTTCTGAAGTAGTGGTATGAGCATGTCCACTGTTGTCTCTGCGACTTTTTCAGTGCTTTTGGAGGAATTCCATCTGGTTCTGCTACTTTCCTTGATTTCAGCAACTTTATGGCTTTCAGGAATTCACCTCGGCTTCTGTTGGAGGGCTTGTGTTCACTGGTAATTCTGTGGCTGTGCAGCTGGTAGTATTTCTGGATGAGTTGCAGGCGATGATCGAAACAAGTTTTTTGAAGTGGTCAAACCATTGTTTCCTTTGTTTCTGCTCTTTGGTAACTAGGTTTCGTTCAATATCTTTCTTTGGTTCCGTTTGCGTTGATCTCTTCCTCCCCGAAAGTAACCTGGTTATTTGATACAGCGTTGTAAGGTCTCTGTCTCTCCTACCAGCAGCCTATTCTGCTCCACTTGCCAGTGTTTCATAGAAGTGTCTTCTGACTTTGCACGCACTTTTCTTCACTTCTTTGTCCAGTGTGGTGTCTTATACGTTGCACTCAGTTCCTCTTCTCGTAGTTCATCCTTGCACTACACTGGTTTATCTTCTGCTTCACCATCCTCCTCTCCTCCATCAACTTCTAAGTGCCCGTCGAGTTCCATTCCTTATCTTCTTTCTTCTTCCTTCCTAATACGGTTATCCAGGTTTCTTTCCACACAGCTTTCAAAGACTTACAGTGCTCATCCATACAAGTTTCTTCAGGGATCTTGCTCAATGTCTCCAATTTTGTCCTGACGGTTGACGTCCTTCAATATCTGTTCTGGGTGTTGAGCTTAAACTGTAGTCTATCACCAACTTCCTTGAAGGCTTTCAACTTGGTTTCGAAGGTTTCTTGCACTAGAGAGTGAATGGTGTGGACCCACATCTGCTCCTCTTCTTGATCTTGTGTCAAGTAGGCTACATCTCCACTCTCTTCACATTGAGATGAAGTAGATCTGATTTTCAGCAAAGTATGTCCGTCCGGTGAAATCCATGTCGCTCGCTTTGTTGATATCCTTGTGCTTGAGCACACTGCCTCCAATCAACAAATCGCTGAATGCACAGAATTCTGCAAACAATTCTCCATTCTCATTCATTTCACCGAGTGCTTCTCGACCCATGGTTAGTTCTCTTCCTGTGTTGTCCCCTCCCAGTTTGGCATTCATGTCGCCCATTAGAATTTTGATATCGCCAACTGAGGTCTTGTTCAGTGTTGATTGCAGTTGACTGTAGAATTCCTCCTTCTTCTCTTCATCTGCATTATTTGTAGGTGCGTAGTGTAGTGTAGTGTTGCATTGTATGATTGTGACTTTCCTTCCTCTTGAGTTGAACCTTGCTGTCATGATCTTGATTCTGCAGGAGGAGATTTGTTCCGACTGCATGAGAGAGAGCCTTTGATGCTGTTGGGTATATGATGATAGCCACTCCGAAACTCAGTGTGCTCGTGGTTATCGTCTGGGTGACAATATCGGAGTAGATTATTGACTGTCCAGTTGACAGTTTGGAGAGTCCACTCCCATTCCACCTGCTTTCGCGAATTCCTAGCACTTCAGTGCTGTACCTTCTCATCTCCTTTGCGATCTGGACAGCCTTGCCAGCCAGCCAGCCAGCTTCAAACATTATTCTGACATTTCATGTCTCCATGTCTACTTTCGCTTTCATTGAGAGAGAGACAGAGAGAGGGGAGAAAGAGAGAGAGAGAGAAGACACATCGGCCAACTGGCTTTCCGAATGCTATCACCAACCTGCCTCATTTCGTCTCTGATTCCAGTGAGGAATAAGTTTGTTTTTATGTTTTATATTTTTGTTTGTGCTTTGGAGTTTCTGTAACGGTTGGATTGGTTTTAGTGGATAGAGTTTGTAGCCGTATGGCCAACCTTCCTCTTTATCAGGGCTTAAGACCGGCTAGTAACTAGTGACGGAGTTACCTATGCGAGGTTAATCAGCAATATAAGGAATAGTAAATTTTCAAATTATCCGTAAGATTGACTAATAGTAACTAAAGTGGTATTCCTTAAAACTGAATTGAAGCTAAGCATGCACCCGATGAAAGGTAAAATGAACGAAAATAAGATAAGAGAATTATGTTCTTAAAGAAGATGGAGTAAATTTGAAATCTACACCCTAGAAGCCGGTAAAACTTTGAAGACAGTGGTTTCTAAAAGAAAGTGAGATATACACTCATCTCTTTTACACAGACTACTTTTTAGCTTTTCATTTACGATAATCTCGGTAAAATATCATAAATTTGAGCTTCAAAAATTATTTGGAATACAAAAGTAAACAACCTTTAAACATATCAGATGTCATCAAGCCATTTCATCTTCAACTGACATTTCGGAATACGAGTTCTAATTTAAAAAGGAGAATCATTGTTCTAGAATTTACGGGTATGTCGTGTTAAAGAATAACAACAAACTTCTCTTTGAAGCTTTCGTACTCATAAGACAGAAAATTTATGTCGAATTGAAGAACTTTGATATGATATTCGTTCTTAGTCGGGTGTTCAGTGTTAAATATGTCCGTTACTGTTCAGTCCAACAGACCTTATGTGACTTTGTTACAGTCATCAGATAACTTTTCAGCTCATGTTATATTCATATTTAGCTTAAAGAAACAAACCTAAGCTCGGTTCAGAGCAGCTGTTATAAATTTTTTCACTTACTCAATCACGTCGAAGACACTTCACTTTGAGATTAGTATGGAATGCATATAATATTATTTTTATTACATTTTGATCAACACTGTAATTTAGAAACGATATCCGTCATCAAATCACTTATGGCCTACAGTTCAAACGTCTACAGAGAGGATGTTAAACGATTTGAGAAATCTTTATGTAGAAAAAATAAATGAGGATTACGGAATCACTGAAGAGACAGATAACTTTGAATACACAGAAAATCTATTATGGCCACATAGACCTCTTTTGGAAGGTGAGTAACTATGATTTCCTGTTTTAAAAGGTAGTGGTTATGCTGTTAGCGAATATTGATTTCCTTCATACAAGGGGTAGATAAGAGAGCTTAGAAAACTTATTAAATTCGAACCATAGTTTAACATGGCACTGACTTCAAGAGTTTGAAAATAGACTTTTTTCTAATCAGGTAACAGTTTCACTTTTCTACCATTTTATTCTTCTTACTGTTTATTGCATTCTTATGAAATACACATTCCTAGTAAACGCTTAATCTTAGCTAGTAGAAAGTAAGCCGTTGGTTTGGTTCAAATTTATCTGCAAACATACACTGGATTAATGAAATTTATAGATAAAGCATCTCTCTAACAGAAGTTGAATCATATGCCAACAATTCTAATTATTCCCCTTCATTTTAAACTGAAATTTCAACCGCTTACATTTGTAAGCTTTACTGTTTCATCATTCTCTCTAGTATTTTATTCAGCACATAATTTCTTTCCGTACCAATTCAATACCACAAGTAGTCTAAACTAGTGCATGACTCTGATAAATATATCAGTAACTAGGACCAACAGAAATTTAAGGTTGTTGTAAATTGTAAAAGAAAATCAAATGCCCTGTCGAGATGTAATTAGAAAGAAAAGCAGTCTATATTGTGTAATAATAGGGGTATTTTGAACATTTTTTGGGTAGAAATTGATGAAAAGTTGCTGACCGTGTTTGAGTTGGTATAACTTTGTTTTGTGGTTTGTTAATTCTACTTTCGTGATGCAAACGTGTTTGATTACGCGTTGTATGGCTAACGCAGAAAGTATAACGACTTAAAAATAACAACAACAAAAAACAAACATAAAACATATGGTAAACTGTCTTTGATCAAATTATCACTAGTTTCTACATCATACGGTAGGATATTCTCTCTGAAGATCTATAAGTAATGAATACTGATCGAAGCATTGCTTGAGTAGAAAGAGTTGACTAAAGTATACTGGTCAAAGTGTGCTGTTCAGTCACAGAACTAAATAGCACACTTTAATGCACTTTGTTTAACGTTTCGAATGTTTTGATTCAGTTGATGATTGGTGAAGTAAATGTACACAATTTGAAATCCAATTATATTGCATGGGTTCAAATTTTTAAATAAGCTTCAATTCTTAAAGACTGATAACCCCCATCAACGCTGAGACAAGAGTCAAATACAATGTCCTAATTATTCACTTCTAAAATATAATACTAAGTTAAGATGTGCTCAACATGTGAGGCAGATAAAAGACAGATTTTTGTCATTTTTATCCTTTATCGACTTCTAAATCCTTGCAAACTGTATTCAGGTTAGAGTATCTGGGATACCATAAAACCTGCTTCTTTTTCATTAATGCTCACAACTTTTCACCCCATTCTTACCAATTTTCAACATCCTAGCTTCATTTTTTGAAAATAAAACATCGGATAGTGTAGAATAGAAGGACATAAAATAAATAAGGACACTGAAAGCTAAAGACGTATCATGCTGATGGGTATTTGAAGAAATGAAATATAGGTTTAAGATTTCCTACTAATCTCCTCTGAATGCCTAATGTAAAATAATAAACAGTAATTAGACCTACTACACCAGTAGGCAGGTAAAACAAATAACACAATGATTTTAATAATTTGTGAACTCTGATATTTCCGTCGGTTTTCCTTTCTGATTAGGTAATAATATTCCGGCGGGTAAAGGTCCAGGAGCTGAAGATGAAAGTCTTGGATTTTTCTATTCCACAGACTTTGTAAAACAAATAAATAATACTCATGGACAAATTAAAGAACAAAAAGACTTCATGAATTTTACTGCGATGAGAAAATTTTCTACTTCATGTGGTCCAGTTTATGAACGTCAATGCATCGATAAACTAACAAAACAGGAAAGTATTACCAATGAAGATAATAACAACAATGTTAATGAAAAGGAACACGAAAAAATTACACAGCAGAATCTGTTCATACGCCGTAGTTTTACAATTCCAGAAGTTGCATCCAGTAATTATAACCAATCAGCAGGACAGCTAAATAAAATTAACACTTCTAGGCTGAAATGTAATGATGGTAAGTATGTAAATCATTTAGTTAACAAATGTATGAATGATATACACAGGTAATTACCCTCAAAGTACATTTTTCAAAAGTATTAATTCATATAGACCTGAGTTAATATGCTTAAATGTCTTTTTATCATAACAGTGACATTACTTTTGTCAGTTTTAACTGTCATAATTGATTAACCTGATTTTATACCGTTCAAATCACAATGTTCTTGTTTTGTGAGATATTACCTATCAGGTTTCTTATTTGAGATGACACTCGATTTTTGGAATATTAGAATAGATCCACATGAACCAATACCGACAAATAAGACCTCCAGTACGCTAAAAAAATGAAAGGCGAAATATGCAATTTACTCGGGCAGTTAAAACCGAAACCAGGGAATTCAACATGGTTTCCATAAGTAACAAAGACCGAGTCTGCCGCAAGATTTTATGAAGGATCGAAAATACACAAAGTAGACGTTCTGCTCAGACCAACTGCAGATTTTATTACTTCACTAGCATATCGTTTGTCAAAATACTTATCAAAACTATTGAAACCATTTCAATATGACATTCCCTCGAACATTAGAAACATTGAATGGTTTAAAAATAAACTGATAGATAACGCTATAAGCGAAGATGAAGTTATGGCAATTTCTGATGTGGTTTGTCTTTTTTCTAGTATTCCTATGAAAGATGCACTTAATGTGCACGTTGCATCAAACGAATATTACTAGTTAGATGTTCATTGTGGACAGACGTTGTAAAGTCGTTAAGGTTATGTCTAGAATCAACATACTTCACGTTTGGAGATAATTTATACCGTCAAGCAAATAGAGTTGCAAAGGATCACCAGGTTCTTTAATTGTGGCTTGTTTATATATGGAAGTACCGCGAGAAAGACTATTAAATAACTTTCACTGTCAGCCTAAACTATGGTACAGATATGTTGATGACACTTTTGTCATCATTGGAAAAAGAACATGAAATTTTTGTTTACAAAACTTGGACTTGATGTCGATTTGTATAAATTTCACGAAAAAAAGCCGAGTCAAATAGAAGAGTTCTGATTTTCCTTAGACTGTCTGGTCTAGAAAACATCAGAAGAGAAAGTGAAGATTAAACTGACAGGAAGCCAACTCAGTTATTTAAATTTTTAATCCGATCACCCAATGAACATGAAAACCAAACTAGTTTTAAACCGATTAAATAAGGCTAAAAATGCTATAACGGATATATAGGATACAGGCAAAACAAATCATTTCTTAGTAGAAAATGACCATCCAAAGCCTCTACTAAAAAATATTATCCACAAAAATAACAGGAAGCAAACAAATCAATAAGTGGGATTAGAAAAATCCTGAGTATTGACAGTGACAGTTTCATATAAAAAGGGTACCTCAGAACAAATGCAATGAGTTTTTGCTATGTATGGTGTTTGAGTCCATTTCAAATCTTCGAATTCTTTGGAAAAACCTTTGGCCAAAGTGAAATATGTAATTTCAAAGAGGAAAAAAACTACTGTGCGAAATGTTAGGTCAATTATTTCAATGACAATTGTTGACAGATGTAAATGAGAGTAAATAAACATAAAATGTGTCCACCAATAAATGAAGTAGAATTGAAAAGTTTAATAAAGCGATTAGGACTATCAATGCATACGAGCAAAAGTGGACAGAAGATTGATTTTGACAATGTTGACATCTAGGAAAGGATTTCCATTCACATAAAGAAAGATTAACCTCAGGAACCCTACATATTTTAAAGATATTGGATGCATTAAATAGAAGAGAAAGAGTGGACACACTAATTCGGAACAAACACTAATGGTCACCACTTAAGACTGAACTTTTAAAAAACGGATAATATCAATTACTTATTGTTCATGAGTAAGCATGCCTTCACATATTTTCATGAAAAACAACGCACTACGTACCTGAAGTTCCAATGACAAATTCATACACAGTGATAATTTGAATTTTGAATTTTCCTCGATGACAAGTGGCAGTGACTGTAAGAATTTATGATGAGTAGTCAGAAATAATCAGTCTGAACAACAAATCAGCTAAATAAGGGCTTAAAAACAGAGATTGTTATACTTTTAAGATTCTGGTTGTGTTACTGTTGCCTAGCGCTTGACCAGTCCTACATAAATCAGTGTGCGTCACTACCAAACTACTCACTACCTAACCCAAGTGTAAGTACTGATAACCAGAAACAAACTGGGAAAGGTTTTATATGGGAAAAAGTGCTCAGACGAGCAGAATATTTGTTAGTGAAAAGTAAAGAGGTTATCTTAGTGGAAGAATGTTAAGCTCTCCTATCTATTATTGGCTGAGCAAGGGACTCTGAGTGCATTGCTGCTTATCAGAACAAAGATGACGCCCAAAAATGGCTGACGCTGACGCATGGATGCCTACCTATTGAAGAAAAACAAAGCTAAAATCACCCACCGACTTCGCAGAAGATTATTCGAATATGTTATTGCTTAGATTCCAGTCTTAGTGGGGACAACATCATTCACTGGGAGGCAGGTATATCCAGCTGACAGGTTCCAAATGAGAAGATTCGCGAGTCCTGGATTCCACTGCTAGCCACTAACCATCATATTTTAAGTGTTAACTTATTTATTTCACACCTAGGAGTAGTTTCTGATGCCAAGCAAGTGCACCACATATGCATAACTTAACCATATATATTTTGATGTTTAATGAAAGTCCGAACATTGTGCTGAAGGAGCTGTGGAATATACAGCGAAAAGTCCAGAAAAATCTTGTTTCGGTTTTTCAAATGCATAACGATTATACTAAAGGTTACCCATATTATGGTTAAATCAGACTAGGTGCATAAATTCTTCCAGGACCTGTTTAGGAACTATGGCCTAGATGTTTTGCTGATTACTGTTATTTGAAGTGTTAACCAAGAAATAAAGACATAAATATGATTCTCAGATAATTGTGGCTTAAGACAAAGGTTTACATATTTGGTTATTCTTCTGAAAATTAACCTCATACGAATGATGACGGTATCTGATTTGATACTTTTATTAATATTATTGTGATATGGATTCATCTTTCTGCTGTAAAGCTGGGTCCATAGACAGTATTTTTGGACGAAATCGCCCAATGCCCACACCAACACCCTTTAGAATACCTCAGTGAAAGCCATTGCAAATTTACCAAAAGCTCTATAAAACAATAATTGGTAGAGGACACATTTCCACAAGGTTGGTCTGAAATAGTTCATAAAGCCCAAAATTATCTTCTGAATGGTTCCAGGAAGAGTTTACTATATAATCTTGAGCTGTGGTTTTATAAAAACAGAAACCAGAATTATGTATCCAAGAGCAAGCTAACCATTCACTACCTTCATTCGCTTCCTAATTTTTTATTCGCCAAACTAACGTCTTTGATTTTCATGTTCTTATTTCGTTAACGTGCTTAGTTCAATTACTAATTTCTCATTTCCTTCCATAATGATGGCTGACTACATACGTTGTTATAAATTTTTTAAATCTTCATTTCAACTCACACTTATTCGTGTTCCTCATGTAACTTCCACTTTTGCATTATCTTCCGAACCACAACCTGTTTAGAATTATTGACATTTTACCGATAAATGTGTACTCTAATTATTTCTAAATGCGACTGTAAAGCTTCTTAGAATGATCTCATCGAAAAACTTTTTTTATTTTTGACTCATTGGGAATATACAAGTTTATGTAAGCGTATTTTGATAGTTTTATGTGTAAAGACAGAGCTTAGCAACAACAGTTTAATAAATAATGGACGCTCAAAAGTACTTTTCATCTTCAGAAAAGAATAACCAACTACCAAGTTCAAAATGACAGAATTGTTAAATTAGCTCATGACCGGCTAACTCGATGTGTAGTTTTAACACAAAAGATGGATAAACTCATACTTATTTTAAGCTAAAAATTAAAATTATTCTTGCAAAAAAGAACTCTGTTAATCTAATTATCTACATTCGACGACCTGTCACTACCGTTTAAATGAACCAAAGCACTTTTTCGTTTCGTTCATTTGTTGGTCATGCCGACAACGTGAGAACAAAGTTAGCATCACCCACTCCCTGTGATAGGGAATCGGAAATTGAGAAACAGTAATTGCCAAACGTTAGAGAAGTAGGATCAGTCACATAATCAAAGCAGTTAAAGAAAGTCTTTTGCAGCGACTGAGAGATAAGTTTCGTACAGCTAGTTGCTGCCTACACTAACTTAAGACTTATGTCACCTCATGAAAATAAAATGTTACGAAATCACAGTTTTTATATCTATTCAATACACGAATTCTGTTCATTACCAACCTTTTCGCTTTCTTCACACTTATGAAAGTTTTTTGAATCAGTGCTTTCCTCTTGGTTTCTTATTTCACCTGAAGGTTATTCTGTAGCGTTCATGAAGTAGAACAGATACACCAATATGCCAAAATTCTGTTCATCCACTTATCAAATTCTCACTACAAACACTTAATCACAGTGTTTTTTTCGCAATGAAAAAAATCCAACTCAAAACTAATTCATTGACTTTTGATCTATTTTCTTCACAATTTAGATAAAAATTTATTAGTAATACAAGAACTAAATTTCTATCTAGAAATAAGTTTTTCCACTATATTTCTAAATATTTTATTTCAGTTTTTTCTGAAAATACTCAACTTTTGGAGACATGTTATACCAATTATGATGACGAACTGATGAACTATTCACAAAGGTCTATTCAAGAAAATCTGTCGAATTCAGTCGAAAATGAAAAGAATAATGTTGAAGATGATTTAGAAGACATTGAAAATCAAGATAATGAAAATACATGTGAAACGTTGGATGATGTACTTTGTTACATGAAAGCAGCTTTACGTCAGTCTGAAGGTATATATATATATATATATATATATATATATATATATATATATATATAAACAATTGTTTTTATCTCCTCAACTAACCCTACGTTTAGTAGCTTTCACTTTAAGAACCTATATAGACTTTATATTCCAATTATCCTTTCAGTAGTTTGACATCTGAGGGTGTAATCAACGCACAAAGATAAATTCAGTAAATTTTAATGTTGGATAACTTTACGGCTCTGTAGCTAGTTGTAAAACAGGTTTCACTATCAACACAAGATGTGTACTTGCTAGTTGGTTGGATTTAATCGGTAGAACGCTGTGGACCTAGTTTTTTTGCCTGTTGGAACTCGTCAACAAGGCTTATCTGCAACATCGTCTACATTTATAGATAAAAATTAGATGGAAAAACTTATTTGAATTGATAAACAATTAATGAATTATCCAAAATGAACAAGTTTACAGTAGTTTGATGATTGTTTTCTTTGACTACTAAACAGCAGAGATTTTTGCTAGAATACCACTGAAAACTGTCAAAAGTAAAATGCATCCAGATATAAATAGGAAGGAACTGGGATTGGTCACTCGAGGGTAGCTAATTTCATGTTGTCTAGTCCTAAGTGTTGATCAGACTATATCGATCGTTTTTCAGTATGGCCGCCAGGTTAGGTGGCTCAGCATCGCGATGCACTCTGATAGATGTTAGTTGGATGCAGGAAGCCTTATCACGTAGTTTTTGATTTTTTTTTTGACACTCATCAGCAAGGCGAATTTGAAACCTCTACAGAACTGATTTCCCGCTTGAGGTTTGAACCCAAGTCACCCGGTGCTGCACTCAGAAGGGGACTTTTTTAACGCAAGGGTTTAGACAGAGGTAAGAAACACCTTTTGGTCAACACCAAAATACTTGAAGCTTGTTGAATTCAGAAACGAAGATGCGTAAAAGGGTTTGAATAAATTCTCAGAACGACTTCTATGTATCATCCTTCAGTTTGTAAAATGATCGTATTCATCGAAACGTTGATTCTGAATAGAAAGTACTAACGACGGTGGACACGTACAGTAATCCTACTACTTGTAAACAAAACAGTATTTGCTACTAGTTTCTTTTGTAAAATTCGACAAAATACTAACGAAATTAAAAATTCTTACTCTCCAAGATACACATATGCGTTCTGATTTCATTTCGTTTCGGTCAGTAAGCTGCATAAGGTCTTATGGTGTATTGAAATGACTGCATCAAATTGCATTTGAAGCTATTTACATGCCATACTTACTTCGTTTTGTAGATAGTAACACTATAATTATGGACAGTGAAGCTGGAAGTAAGTATGGTCCAGAGGCCAAAGCGAAAAAGATTGAAACTTTACGAAAGTAAGTATGAGAATATGCATTTTTAGCTGCATTTTTTCCCATGTTTGGTAATAAGTAATAGTTTTCAACTGATCATTTAGTTATATGACCAAATACAATGAATTTCTGTTAACTATGCATTGCAGGTTACTTACTCATACTAGTAGAAAAATTGAAAACATTTGTTTCTGATACGAATTCGAAATATGCACCGAATGTGGAAAACAAGATTTCAGTAATTTCTTCATTTTCAGCAGTCCCTATCAGATAAATACATACTCGATCATATATATCATGATGCTATGCAGAACAGACAGATGCACAAAGCTCATACTGAAATTAAGACGTAACAACATAGAAATGAACAGTTTTAACAAATCAGGTTGTAATTTAAGAGGATGTTCACAATAAAACAGGCTAAAGATGAATCACATTCTGAATAGAGCATATAATAATCGATACTGGTACAAGGTTAAAGAATCACGTGGATAACAGGTATAAGGCAAATTAAACGAAACCGACCAAGAGTGGAGACCAATAATAACAAGATAGAATTAGTAATCGAAGACAAAGAGTAGTTAGGAAATATTAGATATGAATAAGCCACATTGCGATTACTAACATGGTAAAATCAATCAAACTACGAATTCAGTATAAGGGTTTTTATACGATACCGTCGTTGATTGGACCGAATTGATCGGTTTCTATTAGCATATGGGCTCCTGTGTGGATGCCTCGATATTGCCAGCAATCTAATTATGTCAATGATGGATTGTGGCTAGCAGTGGAATCCAGGATGCGCATTTCGTCCTATTTGGGACTCGTCGGCTGGATGTACTTGCTTTCTAGTGAGTGATGTTGTTCCCACCGGGATTCGGACTCGGGAGCTATAGCGCGCTGGCGTTTGAAGCGATCGCTCCCGAGTCCGAATCCCGGTGGGAACAACATCACTCACTAGAAAGCAAGTACATCCAGCCGACGAGTCCCAAATAGGACGAAATGCGCATCCTGGATTCCACTGCTAGCCACAATCCATCATTAACAAACTACGAATTCCTTCTGCATTCAGAACAATATATAAATAAATTCATAACTTCAAGCCAGAGGATTTTAATTAGTGAATGGTGATCCCTATATTCTGCTTCATCCAGTCCACGCTAATGAGCAACGGAAATAAACTGTGACGGGGATAATTTTTACCAAGCATTCGGAGGTACTTCGTGTATTTAGTTGCTTGCTGTAACCATGTGTATGACATTGTAAAGAATAGCACATTATCTAGTGTCAGACTAATTACTTTTTCGTTTGAACACCTGCCTTTTTCAGGAAAGTTTTAAGTTTAAATTCATAAGGACATACGGGAATGTTTGTAACCTACTAGTCATTGACTTTAAATTTAGAAATAAAATCTTACATCATTGTGACATTTGGTTTTTCTAGAGTCATAAAAAGTCAAAAACCATATTTTTATATGAAAACAAAGTGTATTATGGTTTGCAGCATTAGAAATGTAACCGAAATTTTATGTATACAAAATTAGAAAATTATGCTTGTGGTTGTAAGAGTTAGCAGTATCTAGGTTGCTCGTTTCATCTAACTGATCAGTCGTTCGCTGCAAGTAGTCGCATGTTTGGTGATTTTCCCAATAGGACTAAACTACATAGCCTAGAACACCTTCATTTTATCTGATGGGTCTCTTAAACGTAATGGTTATTTTTTATACATTGGGCGTTAGCTCTTATGAGACCAAACTGGTCAACCTTCACGACGATGATTGGGAAACAAACAACAATGAATTTCTATATTGACGGGTTTGCACAATGGATTACTATATTAACACGATTCAATTACTTTCACTCCACAAGTAAATAACAAATGATTAAATGGTTTAATGGAGATTTGAAAAAGTCATAATTTGGTGCAGCTCGAATAGAGTTATTTGACAGAGTATGGAGATACGAACTGGAAGACTATTGATGGAGGTTATTATATGACTCAGATATCTCTGGCTTCACTCACTATCTTTGTTGAAAAGTTATATTCTGCATTATTATGGTTACTGTTACTATATTTCCACTGTTGTGAGACAATGCTGCCTCCGAAACTTCTGTAGCAAATGCAGCCTGACATGAAGCAGCCAACATTTTAAAAAGTTTTCTGTTTGGTGAAATATAATTTGTAGTCAGACAGAAAAGAAGGACAAAATCCATTTAGAACCTTGCACACAAGTGGATTGGTCAAAGTTGCCACAAGTCACATTAGTATAGAAGGAAAACGTTCATGGGAAATACCGATTTCAAATTAGAAGGTGTGTGTGAAGAGAAGGAGTTCAAAAATGATGGCTGGTGAAAATATTCAAGCTTTAGAAGGAATCAAAAAGTGAATATATCTGTCGCATGATGGCCGATCTTCAGCCATTTTACTAAGCTTCCTGAGCGACTGATCCCTTTCATGTCAGTGCACAAAATCAATAGGAAGTCGTTCTTAATTCTTAGTGGTAAAAGCGAACAGATTATGACTAGAGGCTCCATTTCAAATGATCCTGGATCTGAGCAATTAAAGGAGGAGAGATTATACACAGCGTCACTAGAACTCTAGCCAAGTACACATTTTTCTCGCCAGTGTCTAAGCCAAAAATGTTTTCATAAGAGTAATGTCTCCTCCATCTTCTTAAGCCAAAGTAATTACTTTATTTCAAACCCAATGACCGACAATCAAGTTATATGACCATTGAAGAATATCTTCCTTTCCCTTCACCCCCTCCCCTTTATAAAAAAGGAAAAACAGCAGGCACCAAAGAATAGGAAAAACGATGCCTTTGTTGATTCACAGTGAATGTACGTAGAGCTCCCGATTAAATTCGTTATATACTTGATGTAGATAGTTAAAAGTACGAACTGAATTAATTTGGCAGTTTTCAATCGTTATTGCTACATATTAGAATGTAAGGAAATAAACTACTATCAATCAGTTTTCTTCACATTTCAGTTATTGTATTGAAAAGCTCGGAATACAAAGATTTCAAAATGCATACAATTATCTCTATCAAAAACGTATTACTGAAAATAATCAGTCTGGTGAATTAACAATTCTTGATGGTTTAAAAGATTATTGTTCAGATGTAACTACAGGATTTCTCCTGGACCACTTAATATTCTTAGAAAATGATACAAAGCAAACAATTAGTATACAACCACCGAATTCTGTCAATCAAGTTTTAGAAAGCAGCTTACAATTTTGTATGTGAGTTGAATTTGTACACTGTTAAGAAGAGCATTAATGACAAGATGAAATTTTCGCTTTTAACTGTTACAATGGCTGTGAAGAAGAACAGAATTATTTTTCCCGTGGATTCATTCATCTTAGACATGTTTATCATAGTATTTTTGACAAATATTTCAAAATAAGTAGCCTAGATGATGTTAATTTCGTTAAAAAAATTTAACACACTACTTCTGCCTCGTTAATTCTTGATTATCATTTCCCACTTTCTGTAGCAAAACTTTACCGTAATTTGAATCAATTTCACACTTAGAGAAATAAATCTTTTCCCCTTTTACATTCAAAGAAATAAGTGTTTCTATAGTAAACTGATACATTTTTTTGTTACCTTAAGAAGCGTTTTAATTCCAGTGATGTTTACTTTTGTTATTTAACTGGGTCAGAATACATGGGTAATAAAAACAAACTCAAGTTGTTCAGGTAGCTGAAACACCAACCTACTAAAATGGCTAACATTTTGATAGCTCTAAAGGAAACTATCACTTAAAGTGGTAATGCATACACTGGGAATCCTCAGAAGTCTTTCTTTAAAACAAAACACTCAAGAAAGGACGTTACCAAATAGTTTTGAAGTAGTAAATACATATAGCATGGTCTATGGTAGTTGGCCCATTAAAATTGACTTTTGACTAGAAATGTTGATCAAGTTAGTTCCTGACATTTTTACTTGAAGCCAACTATTATGCAGGAAATCATTCGGAGAGTAATGTCACCAAAAGTATCTTATATTGCACAGGATTTCATTGTTTCGTTTTGCAGATTGAGTATACTTTATGATCATCAAAGCTTGCTTACTACTACTCATTCCATTCGAAGTCCTACGAAATGTGCTGTTTTATTACCATCAGCTTTAGTGTAATGCCTTTTCATTGGATTAATTGAACTAGAATGATCTTAACTTCTAGGATTGTGTTCGTGATTGGACTCTTCTCATAGTATACAAATAATTATCACTTCAGTCAACAGCCATAGCCTCTGGTTGTTTGTTATGCATTGTATCCAACCCCTTCTTGTAGTTTTGACCGTAAGTACCGCTAAAGCTCTGGCCAAATATACCAAAATTTACAGCAATCCATTTTAGTTAACTCACGTATCTCACTAAGAAGCCTAAAATTTCCAGTTCGGTTCAAATATATGGTCTGATAATCGGTGGTTTTTTCACTCTCAGCTTTATAACAACTTAAGCTCGAACTAGTTAACCCAGAACTTCGGGAGTACACAGTGGGATGGCATGCATACTGCGCATTCACACTACCTCATTTTGTCACTGCTTTTAGATCTCAATAACTAGTTAAGCAACTTCACCAAATGCTCTGTTCTTATTTTCTACATTACTTACATATCTATTCAAGTTCATTTGGTGAATGTCATTGATGTAAAAGTAGTCAAACACCTGAAAATGTCACTAGTCCTGCATATATGATGGCCATGTTTCGGAAAATTATGGAAACACAGTGTACCACTGCATAGTCCAAATAGCCTTCAAAAACCATGCAAGTGTCTAACTGGTACTGTAAACGGCTTAAATTAGTCGAATCGAATCTTCTGCATCTACTTCAATATTCCATCAACCACCAAACAACCAGAGAACATGTGACTTCTTGTGTAAGAAACCTGACCATAGAAATCAGCGAAATAAATTAACGATGAAGGTAGACAACGTCTGACCGATACTATCCTAAGTCGATGTCTTACAGCAGTCTGTGACACAGTCACCAGTGAAATATCCTTCATTGAGGAACTGCCACACAAAAAGCCATCAACCGATTCTAATATCGATTTTAGATCAAGAAATATGGCTTATGTTGAGTGGCTATAACTATGCTTGCATGATAAGACCTTACCGAGAGTAATGGTCTTATTAATAAAAATACTGATATGTCTGAAAGCCGTTCAGTTCTCTTGTGTAAGCTGTCCTTAGCTTCCAACTAGATATAATAAAACTATGAACTGTAGGTAATTAAAAATTGATCATGTGAAGCGTTACGGGAAATAATGGTCACAAAGGATTTTTCTCTTTTCCAGAAACCATGCTAGTAATTAACTAGGGTTAGTCATGCATGATCATATTGAATCGTCGTACTACAATCAATACCTCATTCATTTCAACCATTACTTTTGAACCGTCATATTAAAACACTTCAGATAGGAGTCTAATAACATATATTCCCCTGGTTTAGTTCAAAATACTTACCATCTCTTCAATATTCGTAAGACCGCCAGTCACAGCAGCCTTTTCCTTCGCAAACTTCTACTGAATATCGGGCAACTGAAATTTTTTTTGGAGACAAGTCAAACTGTTCCTCGAATTTTCTACTCAACGTCACATTAACCATCCTAACGCGAAAATCAGTAACCTATTTTGTCCAGTAAAAGATTTCTTATCCTCAGATATTTTCATACTAGTCTTTATAATAATTCTGAAAGCTGTACACTGTCTGTTTTCTCCATCTCTGCTTGCCACTCATCACCTACTCATGATTATTAAATAAAACCTTTCCCAGACTCAAAGTAATCTACTTCAATTATTCATTTTGCAAAGAGCGTCCTAGAATCCCTTCTTGTGTACTCACTTATCTGGGTGGAGCTTCAAGAGCTTAACTTTAGGTCTTGCTTCGGGTTTTAATTTCATGTTGACTAAGGACAAGCAGTTATGCAAATACACTTCTACTTAGTGATCACAATAATCGCAATAATAGCCGACTTTTAGATTTTTAGACACCTTCGGAAGGGATCGTTTAGACTTACGATCCTGCTTTTGTAGGATAAAGTAAATCAACACACTTCAGTCCTTATGCGAGTCACAAAAATGCAGCATAAATTGATCTGCAGTTCAACATTTTTTCCTGTTGAAAGTTGCTGTCACTTTCGGCGCAGAGTGTTGATGTCAAATGCTCCAATCTGAATGTGTTCCTAGACACACCTAGTTTCCCATTACACTGTTCGTTAATGTCTTACAAAAGTTCATTTTCTCCCAATAATGCTTATTTTGGAAAGAACTCTGAATTCCATATCTATGGAAAAGGCATCAGAATCAAATAGATAAGCTACTTCACGACTATTATTTATTTGTATTGCTGCAAAAATACCATGTTAGTGAAGATGAGGTTTTGTAATTCATCATAAATAATACATACGTCGGAGAAAGTAACGGCTTTCTTTCTCATGTCAACCGATAAAAATTCTTCTACTTTATGATAGACAAGAAGGCCACTTGATTTCAGGGACTGAGAAAAATCAAGTAACTTTAAAGGTTCCTTAGCAACTGGTGAAATAAACAATCAGGTTTCGGTATTTTAGCTTTCAAAGTAGTTTCTCATGAAATTAGGAAATGTAATTGGTTATCTCAGCAGCTATTAGGGTGGCCTTTAAAGTCAATCAAAAAATCCTTGTCAGTTTTTTTATAAACCCACGGTTAACTCAAATCTATCTATTTCCTTTAATTAAGAATGATCTCAAAATTAATTTCAATAAAAATGTTTATGACGTTTCCAAGTGGAGGAAATCCTAAAATGCTTGATAAAAAATACACAATAAGCCAAAATAAAAGCTATTGGTTATACAGAAATATTCAGTATGTATAACATTAGATAAATTGAAATGCCAATGACTGGAAATATGAAATCTGACTGCTGAACTGGTACATTAGATGACTTAAAGTTGATGAATGTATTTCTATTCAGAAATGCTTTCTGAAAGGCTTATTATCATCAAATTTGTCTAACTATTAAAATAGTTGTTAACCCCTAGTGATGAAAAACCGGAATTCGATTTCCTGTTAGAGAGATCTGTACGTTCTTGAAGATGCTTTAAGTTGATAAAGTGCCAGTTAGTATTCATAATATCATGATCGAAACTCACGCAATAGCATCTTTAAGAAATTTGAAAATGATACCTTGATGGGACAGATTTGACTTCTTAAACTTGGTACTTTTGTACTGTGGTATATTTTAAAATAAATATCTGGTCGAGAACTGAATCGAAAAGAGAAGTTGTATATCACTAAAGGTGATAATCATCTTTTTAGTTACATGAAAGTGACTCAACAAAGTTTAAGTTAGTTACCTCTTAACATTATTGGTAATAACCGTGTTCATCCCTTGTAAATCATCCATGTAAACAATAAATAAGCTGATCAGAGTTTATGGTAGAAAAGGTGAATTTAGTACAAAGTACTTGAATTTATGTAGGTTCACTGAGTTTTAAACGGTGTAAAGCTTCATAGAGGATGTTGGCAATAGTCAAAGCAAATTAGTTATTTTGTGTACTCTGTCTTTCCTTTATAATAAAGATTATTTTTGTCATAGAAACGTAGCATTCTGAATACCATAACCGGAAGTCCAACTATCTTACATCCCTACTCACTATTACTGTGAAGAACAATCTAGTCTCTCCGATCCAGTCTACTTGTTTAAATGGATAAGAACTGGACAATCAAGGAGTTGTCAGCAGCTAGGCACTTTATGAAAATGTTTAGAACTAGACAATATGTCAAGGGCTGCTGCAAACCTACAAACCCGAATTAATTTACCTTGAACTGGTTACACGTAGTGATTAATAAATTAATTCCATTTTCGAAAATTGCAATAAGAATATACGATCATTGATTTCAGTCTGACTCAAAGCCTGAACTTGGAAAATGACCCAAGGTATTTTATTCAGTTTCTGTGTAGCTTATCACTCATCTCTTATCCCCGTATGTTATTTTTTTATACCCGTGAATCCGGTGAATTTTATTCACTTGAAGACTCGACAGGTTTATTTCTACAAGGCGAATTACCAATCAGATGTTACCGTTGTTGAAAATATTGGAATTGGTTTTTAACGCAGCTAAAGATGCCCTTCAAGGTTCTCACTACTGGTAACTACTTTCATTACTCGGGATACTATAGTGTTTGGCAAAATAATGCGTACTACACAACTTTTTGAACGTGAAAAAACACGGCCATACTTATTATGAAACGATGACATTGGTACGATAACATCAAAGAGATGCTGCCGAAAAAATGTCATGGGAAGTACCAAATACACAGTTCATCAAGTATCGTTGGTCTACCAAAGCTAGATCACTATGTTTTAAAAAACTGAAAGGAAACATTTTTCACTGTAGTCTCTCGAAATGTCATACACGAAAGGAAAATTTATTCACCGAAAAACTCCCAGCACTTTTTTAGCCAAAATGACATTTTATAAGCTCTTATAATGGTTTAAAGCATCCAAAGAAATCAAACATGAATCTGTATATTGCTTCGCTTTTGGTGTATTTTCAAAACTGTATGTAGTCTTTAGCCAACAAATGTGAATCGGTAAGTTGAAGACAACTGTGAAGAACGTGAACTTGAAATGTTGGAATCCCTAAGGTGATTCAGTGACATGTGTCTCAGTTCCAAAACACTGAAGCGACATACAGTTAATCATATTGATGCAATAGCTGTCGTCTTATCGAGTTAAGAATGAATACAACCTTCAGAAGTAATGCTTTTGTTGTAACTTATTCACTGGCGAAGGCAAACAGTTCGAGGAGTATATCTCTATTGTTGTAGAAAAACGTCTCAATCTGCCAATCTTAAACATCTTGATATTCGGAAACCAGATGAAAAGAAAAGGATTTTTCCGAATAATCTGGATAAATATGTATTTAATCATTCCTCTGACAATCTTTAGACAGTTTACGAATAAGCTCTATCGCTGGATCTGAAGTTCTGTAATAGCGTATCCATTGTAAATAGTCTGCATACTCAAGTGAGATTTGAAAACTTGATCAATCAGACTCTCGATCTTTTCCCTCCATTACCGCAGGAATTCCAGCATTTCAAGTACCCTGTTCTTGACTGTTATCATCAGTTTGCCGATTCACAACTTAACTCTGGTATTTATAAAACTTTATAAATTGAAATCGAATGATATTACCAGTGACAGACTGAAAATATAACACACTGACCCTAAACTTGGTGAGTGTTCATTAATTCCCAGCTCAATCGTAACTGAAAACTTAATGTCAATGGAAAATAGTTTGCTAACCACATTTATTTTTCCTTGTGCTTTTTTATACCGCACGTTATTCTACTTCACGCAAAGAACAAAGATATAGCTTATCTAATTTTAGTTTTCTTGATATTTCGTCTCTTTTTTCTAGCATTCTAGGATTGTCACCAAAATCTGTATTATAATATAACGTAACTATTACATCATGTTAGTGTCCATTAATAAAACTTTTGTTACTAGTGATGATAACTTTCAGATTTTTCACGTTTTTCATGTATCCCTGAATTCAACTCACGGTTCGTGCTCGATTTAAACTACTTTAATATATTAACCAGAACATTAGTCAAAAGTAACAGTCAGACTTGGGGGCTGTGTTGGAGACAGTCCCATATTGTTTGATATCGTATACAGTGAAACAGTATTATGATTAGTAGTATTAGTATGATTATCCAGTAAATAAAACCTTATCACCACGTGTTTCATGAAATCATCAGTCTAATTTAGAATTTTACTGAATAAGCAGTTATATTTTTAGCAATGGTAAACAGATTAATTTTCAAAATCAACACCATAGGATTTCGTATTTCCCAACTTACACAAAAGATTGAGGCCTGAAGCTTTAGCTTAATTTCGTTTGAAATAATCAAAGTCAATACTGGTCATATTCAATTAAATTATGTTCAACATCTACCAGTTAGCTTTAACAAATGAACTCGTGTTTCAACAAATTTACTTACAACAAAGTATTCACACTTTTTAAGTCGTTTAACAATAAGTGTGACTCATATTTCTTTATTACAATATAGTACTCATTAAGTTCCAATATAGAAAAGTGTAAGTGGTTATTAAATCTCTAAATATACTTGGATGTGCATATGCCACCCAATTAGAAGACTTGAGTTCATCTCACAAATAATCACCAAAAATAAACCAGTCACAAGTTCTTAGTATGCTTATTTTAATGACAACCAAAGTTCTCACAGGATTTTTGTTTTCCAAGGAAAACAAGGCGATTATTATGCTTATTTAAATAAATTATCAATGTAACAAAGAAGTTTATCATGCAAATCAAATTTCAAGAGCCTAAATAACTTGCAAAATTACTTAGTAATACTTTGATAAATTATAATATAAAACTATGTGAAAAACAATTCACAGTTGTGCTAAGATAGGTTTTTTTGAACAAATGTTCTGGCAAAGGATCAAAGGTATTAGAAAAACTAGCTTTATACATCAGCAAATACGCTTGAAGTATTAAGTAGTTCTGCTATAGTAATAACCTATTCAAGACAGGATATATATATATATATATATATATATATATATATATATATATATATATTGATTATGGCATGCGACTACAGGCATTACAATGAGCATGCATATATTGAAATTACATACATCTATCGTAGGTTTCTCTTCACAACACCACAAAATGATGAACATACTAGATTTTAATATCTTCCCTGTTTATCTGCCATGAGTCCATGAACGCGAACTGGACAGTAAAATCTGAAGCGGTGAACAATGGACCATATCCATTAGTTATGATTCCTGGTACAGCAGGAAGCCAAGCTTTTGCACTCTTCAAAGATGACTCCGACCGTGAACCTTTACCTTTATGGTTAAATATGAAATTCTTTGTTTTTTTAAAAAGATTTAGCGAGTACTTTATGTCAGTTTGATATTTTTTTCAATAACTTTACAAGGCAAACAACTTTTCTAGGTTGCATTATGATTCAAAAACTGGTCGTACAAGAGATACTGAAGGTGTTGAAGTCATCTTTCCAGGATGGGGAGAAACATGGTCAATAGAAAACTTAGATGAGACACCCAACGTTTTCTCGGAATATTTTGGTCCTTTAGTCTATATCCTAAAGAAGGATTCATTTTACGTATCGAATTTTACAATAAGAGGTGCACCATATGACTTCAGAAAAGCTCCAAGTATCTTCATCTTTTTATTAATTACACCTATTACTGTCTACTTTAGATGAAAATGACCAGTTTTTTGACAACTTAAAAATTTTAATCGAAGAAACCTATGAAAATGCGAAACAGCGTCCTGTTGTTCTACATCCGCATAGTATGGGATGTTTATACGCTATGGCGTTTTTGAAAAAGCGGTCTGTGTCGTGGAAAAGAAAATATATCAAATCAGTCATATTTTCTAGCTGTCCATTCGGTGGATCTGTTAAATCACTAAAAGTCGAAGCTAGTGGTAAGTGCATTTGGATTCCTTATAAAAATTAAGCATAAAAACTTAGTAATGAATCTTCTTAAAAAAGAGTAATGTCTGCTTTACAAATACTAAGACTGGGTTAGTTAAATATCTTTCACTTGTATCGACTTCATATCAAATGTAATGGTTACTAGCATTTTTCAATACCAAAAGTAAATTTTTTTTACTTCCGACCGAATTCAGAGATTTTAGTAACCTAAGACATTGAGTGAAGTATATTTTCTTACACGATGTTCAAACATTAGTTTTATGAGTAGAATATTAAGTCCACATTAATGAACATAAAACTGCTGATGAGCTTTATAGCATTAACATATGATATGATTCGTGTTTGGTATTCAGTAAATTAATTCGTAGGAAATTGTGCTGGAAAATCCATTCACAAGTTACTGGTAAATTGTACGGCTCACTGTTATAGTTCTCTCAGGTAAACAGTGTTTTAGCAGTCCAAAACCATACTGGATAAAGCATATTTAACAAAACACTATCAATTAAACAACTTTTGAAGATCAGATACCACATGAAAACTGCATCATCCTGTCCTCAAACTGATTGTAACTAAAATGGATACAAGTCAAAGAAATCAGCTTTCTTGTTGATATCCTTATGATTTTATCACTATGTCTGAACGGCTGAGTCACTAGTTCATCTACTACTATCACTTTGCGAAAGTGATTAATTGGTTCTCCCACCAACTACTTATCTTAACAAGTTATTTCCCATAAATGACTCTATTTTAGAAAAATTTCCCACAATTCTAACAATAATTCAGGGTGTGGGTGTCCATTAATTTGACAGTGAGGTGGATGCTCACCGTAAATACTAGCCGATGGTAATTCTACATTGTAAAATAACCAAAACTGAAAAATGACTGTTGGAATTCCTACCTGATTTCCATACTTCACTGGGATCATCTAAAACTTTTAGGTCATTTGCTTGATCCCATCTTTGAAGATAAGTACACGGTTTTCAGCAGCTCCTAACAAAGAAAAAAAATCCTCTCAGCTGCCCTGTATCTACTGCTAACCAATTCTTGAAACCATTTTCAAAATTATTTACCATAAATAATGCTGTCCCACTGTGTAGGACATCTAATAAATCAACTAAAATGGAATTACGTTTTACCACAGTGCTGAAGTTTTACGCATATTAAAATTATTCTCATTTTTGCCAGGACCTTCATTCTTTCAGAGGACTGATAATGTACTTTTGTGTTTGAGTATTTTCTCGATCTAGCTACAAATACCCCATCATCCTTCAAAATAACCTTACATTTGAATTTTCTTCAGATATTTATGAAGTTGATTTAACCTTCTTATAGAACCTGTCAAAAATACTGGCAAGTTATTTGTTACGAAATAATGAAATTATCTTGAAGATCACCTATTCTATTTAAGTGTATATTATCATTTTGTATTATTGGGTAGGGAGAATGACAATTATACTTCGAAGTAAAAAGAATGAACTACAAGAAATGACTTCCTTCAGCTTAGTCAATAGAATTGGTAGACATTTGTTACTTATGACGTGAAACCAAGGTAAAAATGGTGGTTATTCATGCCACACAATAGAATTCGTTACTAAACTGATGTGGAATAGTGAACAGTCAAATGGTATGACATTCAAAAGTGCATTTTACCGTTGCAGTGAATTTCATGATAATCACTTAGGGTTTTCATGTATCATCTTACAGAATTTGGTCCTTTGGGCAGTAAGTCTTGTTGCCCTTCTGCAACCCAGACAGAAATGGAGTCTTATCTAATCACTACCAATGAAGGACTTTAAAATACGAAGAAACAAATCAAAGCCATCAATTGACTAGGGTGACTCAACGAATGATACTTAGCTGATGTAGTCTTTACAAAGAAGTTAAGAAACGAACAGCGGCAGAAAAAACATTTACTTAAGTTGCCACACCTCACAGTAGTACACAAGGAACAGGTCGATAGAAAGGGAGTGATATCAAAGTAGGTGGAACAGTGTAAGAGAATAAACAATCTGAGGATAACAGTTAGAGCGAATATTCGAGCTTTGGGAGATTAGAAGGAGTGAATACATCTGCACCATTGTGACCTATTTTCAGCCTTGTCACCAACAGACGCCAACCACTCGTTCCTATAGTCTCGGGGACACCAAACAGGCAATTTACATTGCCACACACACCTCAGATAAACAGTGAGAAACTTCATCTAATGGTGCCACGTCTTGGCCTGACTAGCCTGAAGCCCCTTCCAACCTGATCTAGCTTCCACCAGTACGGCACGTCGAGATGGGCAGTGTCTCGACGCGCTTAACACATGTCCAAGCCGCCTCAGTCGACTAAGGTTCACAACCTCGTCAAATCACTTGCCTGTCTTGTCTAGTACCCTTCGCCCGATCTCAACATTGCTCACACGATGACTCATCAAACGCGACCAATGCTACAAACACACCTATAATCAAAACCCAGTAATCGCTTCATGTCTTCTACTTTTAACGGCCATGTCTCACAGCCGTGCAACAGGAGAGAAGGAACTGAAGCACAGTATACTCGTTCCCCGATAGATAGTCTGATTTGTAGCCAGCTGGCACCACATATGATGCCAGTTGATAAATACCGAACGGGGCTTCCCTATCTGAGCTGAGGTTCCGTTGGCAACCAACCCGTCTGGGCTAATGTGATTCCCCAAGTAAGTGAAGTGGTTGACACATCCCACCACTTCACTCCCTGTCATTAAACTGGGAGTATTTGCAGCATCACTTTATATTTGACAGGCGCTAGCCAAATGCATGTCAAACACACTCAGATTTCTGCTCAACGTGTCCAAAAGATCCTGCATTTTGTCAGCGTCTTCACCTAGCAGAACAATATCTTCCTCATACTCCAAGTGAACCAAACAACCCCGAGGTAGGTAGGAGTAGGTCAATCCATGAGAAGTCAGATATGCCTAAGGTTGTGTCCATTGGTACGTCTGTGACGAAATTAAATATGAACGTTGACAGTGAGCATCCCTGGTGGACATCACTAGTTGTCGTCGATTCTGATGACAACTCTCCATAAACATTGACGTGTTTGTTTGTGTTCGAGCAGAGAGCTTTTATCAGTGTTAGATGCTTTCTCGGTAGTCCCTTCGCAGCCAGACACTGCCAGGACTCTTCATGGTCGACAGAGTCAAGTACCGCCTTCAGGTCAAGAAATATGGTTAGTGTCGGCCACTGGCTGGTAAGTATGCTTGGGTTTCAGAACCTATCGGATGCTGAAAATCTGATGAATGCATCCTCGTCCAAGTCTGAAGCCTGCTTGGTTTTCTCGAGTCTGCAGTCTACCAGCTCCAGTTAGGCATTGGATAACTATGGAACCTAGGGTCTTGAACACAACGTTGATCAAACTAATTCCCCTATGGTTGTCATAAGATCACTATCCCTTCTTATAGACTGGGATGATCAGTGAAGTACACAAGTCTTACGGTAGTATCTCTAATTCCCGAACACTACCCAGTACCTCCGTCACTCACTTTAATCAGCAATTTCTCACCTTCACCCTTGAAAACTTTAGATTGCAAACTGTCAGTTCCTGGTGGTTCTCATCGTTTCAGGTTCGATACAGCCTTCTCAACTTCAAGGAGAGTTGGAGGGCTGACATTTATTCTCTGTTCAGGATGTAAAAAAGTAACATAATATTTCCAGCAAAATGCTTGCATTAGTCGTGAAGTTGCTAAAATATTTTATCTTGACAAAGACATTTTAGAAGATGAATGCCTTATGAGCAGTTTGTGTTTTAGTTGAATAGGATCGCCTGACCTTATTTGTTCAGATTTTAATAATTCAGTTTGGAAGCTTGTGTGGATTTCATTGGTTTCTGGTTGGTATTCACCATGGACTGACATCAGTTGAAGAAACATTGGAAACCTGGGAGCACTACACAGCTGTTTTGCTACATTATCGGACTCCTCAGCAGTGCGCACCAATTACCCCTCGGGGGATCGAACTCAGGACCTCTAAGTACCGCGGCCAGGACGTTACCACCAAATCACCACTGGGTAGAGCCTAATAGTCCATATTTCCCACTTTTGCCAGTTCACGATATAGCGCCACCTCTATCCAATACCGTTGTTGAGTACCTGTTCTGATTTTCAACCTGGTTGCCCCCACTGTGTTCCATCTGTGGCGAAGTCATGAGTGCACACTGCTGAGAAGTCCCATACTAGGACGAGATAGCTGTCCAGCGCTCCTAAGTTTCCTATTTCTCTCCAGCTGATGTCAGTTCATGATGAGTACTAACCTGAGATCCTAATAAGAATAGTAGAAAAGACAGTTATTAGTGTGTAAGGATGCTGGTAGTGTTTCTATTATCTAAAATGTGACGACTCCTATATAAGTTGATGTGTGCTAGTACCAAATTAACTTGTACCTTACTTACATGTAAGTACTGCTGAAGAAAGACATATAATAAGGGATGTCTGATAGTGAAAACACTTAGAAGAGCAGTATATTTATTAGTATGCAAACAAAAAATATTAGCTGGCCATAAATAGCTGGATCACAAACTATGAGGATGTGGCTGTCGGTCAGCACAACTGAGACGTGAATTGTTAGTTGTATTTAGGAGGACGCCTATACATTAAAACAAATCTTACAAGGATAAAGCACCAGCTGACACCCTAGCAGATTATATACCCGGTGCGCATATACTAAATTTTTATTTATGTATTAATTAATTAATTCGGTGATAAGATGGTGTACTACAAGTGCATCAAATGTGGCATGGCTACTTGTCGCTTAGAAACTTGTGATACGGAGTTTATCTACGCTAGTTTCCAAGTCACCTAGTCATATAGGTTGCCTAGTTTTCAACAAAACTTAATTGTATACAACATAGTCGCCTAATATATATTGTGCGGATGAGATCCCATTGTAACACGTAAACAATAATGACTATATTCGCAAAAGGTGAATACATCTTCAAGTACTGCTTCTCGACAAGCTAAAAATTCACATTGTCTGTTCATTTTTTGTTATTGTTTTCGTCAAGTGTTGATTTTGCCTAAATGCTGAACGCATCTTCTTACGATTCCTCAGGTGACAACTTTGGGGTGTTTCTACGTAGTCCTTTGAGTTTCCGTAATGTTCAGCGCTCTATGCCATCGCTTACATTCATGTTTCCGGATTCCCGTCTGTGGTCATCATCAGAACCACTTATTATCACACCGACAACGAATTACACCACAGCTGACTACGAACGCTTCTTCACAGACATTAATTATACTATTGGTATGTAAATGCACGTTCCTATTAACTATATTATTTTTTCACATCAAAATTATAGCAATTATCATTCATAAGTGATGAATATCATCAAACCTGCAAATGAATGTTCTTGACAGAGGCAAAGTACTCAGCATAAGCAACTTCTGTATACGGTACAAAAAGTAACTTAAGTGGATCATACCAGCCTCAACATAGGTTGAAAACAAAAGATTGATCTCCACCGGTCACACTCACTTTGATCAAAAAATTATTATTATTATTATTACTATTATTATTATTATTATTATTATTATTATTATTACTATATTATTTGTCCCTTGGGTTCCTAGTGCAACATACAGCTTCAGTACCATGTCTCCATCCCACTCTCTTCTCTGCAATCTTTTGAATCTGGCTTCACGACAGCCCACAACCTCTCATTTCTTCCTCACACCATCTCCTCTATGTCACCCTCGCCACGGACGCCCAACTTGTCGTTTCCCATCTAGGTTCAACTCGACGGCTTGGCCTGGCGCGTGATGTCCCCCAGTGATCTTCTTAGTGCATGCCCAATTCATCTCCACTTCCTTCTGCATATTTGTTCAGCCATAGCTTCCTGGTTGGTTCATTGCCAGAGTTCCTTCTTGCTTATTCTTTCTGGCAATCCATCTGATCTTCAGTAATGAGCCAGAGTAGGCAGTTGTTGATGAATGTCTGTAGTTTGTTGGAAATGCTTTCCGTGACGCGCCAAGTTTCTTAACCATACAGAAGCACTGACTTGACTGACGTTGGTGTTGAAACTCGAGATCTTGTTCCGCATGCTGAGTGCAGTAGATCTCCACACTGGTTTCAGGTTAATGAAGACCTGTCTTACTTTTCCGATCCTGGCTGGCTTTGACGTCCTCGTCTGTGCCTGTGCCGTCTGTAGTTGAAACGATGCTGCCTAGGTACGTGAGAGGATACTTTCTTTAAGTTCCTCTCATGGATGGTGATTAAAGCTCTTTGTTGTTGGTGGTGGTGGAGTTGGTTGGGTATCTTCATCACCTCTGTCTTCTCTACGTTCACTTGAAGTCCCGTCTTCGCTGCCCTGTCTCTTCTGTCAACTTGTTAGTTTTCGCCTCTAGATCTTCGAGGTTGTGTGACATTAGACACAAGTCATCGGCGAAATCCAAATCTTCAAGGTTCCTTTCCCCGGTCAGACAGCGTATCCCCCTCTTCTCACAGCTCCTCACTGTTTGTCGCATGATCCAGTCCAGTCCAGTCCAGTCCAGTCGACCACAATCAGGAAGATCATGGGTGATAGCAGGCAGCCTTGTTTTACTCCTGTCTTCGCTTCAAAAGCATCACTGAGTAGTTTTCCATTGTGAATTACTTGGCATGTGGCGTCTTCATATACTTGTTGAATAAGATTGATAAAGGTTTGAGGCACTAAAACCGTAGTGTTGAAGCAGCTGCCCACCAAATTACTTCTCGGTCGACGCTGTCAAAGGCCTTTTCAAAATCAATGGAGTTGAGGTAGAGATCCAGTTGACTGTCATTCTATACTCTGTGATGATGACGATGATGATGATACGTAGTGTAGCGTCGCGTTGCAATTTGATCCGCACATGATTTGTACTTCCCGAATCCAGCCAGCCAGCCTGTTCCGGTCGTAGTTTTGAATTCAGCGTATCCTTTAGTCTCTCCAGGATGATACGGCTTAATATTTTGCTTGCTCTAGGTGAACAGGAGCATGACTCCTCGCCAGTTCTTGCAAACACTTAGGTCTCCCTTATTTGGGGGTTTGACAAGGTATCTATTCTTGCAGTCAGCAGGTACCTTTCCTTCCTTCCTTCCTTATAAACCTGCTGAAGTAGTGATGTGAACATGTCCACTGTTGTCTCTGAGTATGTTCTCTGTGCTTCTGGCGGGATTCCATCTGGTTCTGCTACTTTCCTTGATTTCAGCAACTTTATGGCTTTGAGGAATTCACCTCGGCTTCTGTTGGAGGGCTTGTGTTCACTGGTAATTCTGTGGTTGGGCAGCAGGTGGTATTTCTGGACGAAGTGCAGGTGGTGGTGGTGATTCAACAGCATTTTGAAGTGGTCAGCCCATCGTTTCCTTTGTTTCTGCTCTTTGGTAATTAGATCTCTCTCATCACCTTTTATTGGTTTCATCTGTGTTGATCTCTGCCCTCCCAGATAGTAACTTGGTTATTTGATACAATGTTGTCAGGTCTCTGTCTCTCCTACCAGCAGCCTGTTCTGCTTCACTTGCCAGTGTTTCATAGAAGTGTCTTCTGACTTTGCACGCACTTTTCTTCACTTCTTTGTCCAGTGTGGTGTCTTATACGTTGCACTCAGTTCCTCTTCTCGTAGTTCATCCTTGCACTACACTGGTTTATCTTCTGCTTCACCATCCTCCTCTCCTCCATCAACTTCCAAGTGCCCGTCGAGTTCCATCCCTTATCTTCATTCTTCTTCCTTCCTAATACAGTTATGCGAGTTTCTTTCCATATCCCCTTCAAAGATTTCCAGTGCTCATCCACACAGGTTTCGTCAGGGATATTCCTCGATATCTCCCATTTTGTCTTGATATCTGACGTGAAGATGTCCCCTGTAGTTTCGTCCTTCAGTTCAGTTTGTGCTCTGGGTGTTGAACTTAAACTGTGGTCTGTCGCTGAATGCACAGAATTCTGCAAACAATTCTCCATTCTCATTCATTTCACCGAGTGCTTCTCGACCCATGGTTAGTTCTCTTCCTGTATTGTCCCCTCCCAGTTTGGCATTCATCTCACCCCACCCATAAAAATTTTGATGTCACCAACTGAAGTGGGGTCCTGTCCATTACCGATTGCAGTTGACTGTAGAATTCCTCCTTCTTCTCTTCATCTGCATTATTTGTAGGTGCGTAGTGTAGTGTAGTGTAGCATTGTATGATTGTGACTTTCCTTCCTCTTGAGTTGAACCTTGCTGTCATAATCTTGATCCTGCAGGAGGAGATTTGTTCCGACTGCATGAGAGAGAGCCTTTGATGCTGTTGGGTACATGATGATAGCCACTCCGAAACTCAGTGTGCTCGTGGTTATCGTCTGGGTGACCATATCGGAGTAGATTATTGACTGTCCAGTTGACAGTTTGGAGAGTCCACTCCCATTCCACCTGCTTTCGCGAATTCCTAGCACTTCAGTGCTGTACCTTCTCATCTCCTTTGCGATCTGGACAGCCTTGCCAGCCAGCCAGCCAGCTTCAAACATTATTCTGACATTTCATGTCTCCATGTCTACTTTCGCTTTCATTGAGAGAGAGACAGAGAGAGGATACAGAGAGAGGGGAGAAAGAGAGAGAGAGAGAAGACACATCGGCCAACTGGCTTTCCGAAGGCTATCACCAACCTGCGTCATTTCGTCTCTGATTCCAGTGAGGAATAAGTTTGTTTTTATGTTTTATATTTTTTCTTTGTGCTTTGGAGTTTCTGTAGCGGTTGGATTGGTTTTAGGGGATAGAGTTTGTAGCCGTATGGCCAACCTTAATCCGGGCTTAGGACCGGCTAGTAACTAGTGAACTAGTTAACCAAGCGAGGTTTTAATCAAAAAGGACCACGGTTTTTCCATCTGACTGGCATTAACGATAATCCCTAGAATTATTGAATGCTTTAATATCACAATTGGCAAAACAATGGACGAAAAGTAAATCACATGTGATGAAAGAAGCATATATAGGTCATACCATCAAAACTGTTTAATCCAGTTCGATTTCGTATATGTTAGCCAAATCAGTTTGTCATTTTTTGACTATAGCAAAATCAAACATCACCACAGTATCTACCACGACAGGTATTATCCTCAAATCGGAAAGCTGGCAAGCTCAACTTCTGTTATTTCTTTTACAGAGCGACCCTGATATGATAAGATAAGCATTTAGATGAATACTCACTTAAATTCCGTTGGCTTTTCCAGAAACCTGCTTTTATTCATGTGATACACAATACCATGGCCAAGGAGTTACTTTTGTATACAGAAAATTCTGAATACTTGGAAAAATACTATTTATTTGTGAATATGAAATACCTTTCAAGACAGTTGATCTAGTAGTCATATAAAGGCAACAACAGAATTGGTCGGTGTAAATTTATTTCCATGCATTCGATAAAGCCACAGACCAGCATACTTTTATTCTATCCGCTACGTTTACAATACCACATTTTAACTGAAGCATTTCTGTACACCCAACTGAATATCTCACTTTCTGTCTAGTTTCCATGTTTCCATAAAGCTACAACAGTGTGCTGTTACACTGACAAACAATGTTAATTTGAATAAAAATACTGGTAGATTAAATAGTGTCCAGATATAAAAGGTATGAATTCGTTTCTAATTCTTAAATAAGGAAGAACTTTTGTTCTTGATTTCAAGGGTTGATTTACCACATGATAATTCTCAGCATGCGAAATTAATGCTACATTATTTATTACATTGACGTACACCAATTCCTGTTACCATGATACTACTGCTATAACACGGTAAGTTATGACTGAAAGTGTTGGGTTACTGTTATATCCTTTTAGTGAGTGGATATGACCTGTGTTATATATATATATATATATATATATATATATATATATATATATATATATATATATATATATATTGCTTCAGAAGTTTCCTTGTCTTCAGAGAACTATCTATTTATTTACTATTAGGTAATAGTGGTGCCTTTACCATGAAGTTTCAACGGGTAGCTTTTGTGTATTTCGATCAAAGATCTTATGGCTCACCTGAGAAAGGTTTCAATAAACAGAACCATCACTATGCTGAACGTTTTATGTTGCTGATGGCAGTACATTTCTACTTTGGTGACAGTCAGCTACATTCATATTTTGTGAGACAGTAAAATGTTCTTCTTGTTAGCGGGTCCTCCTCACTAAGGTGATCTTAAATTTACAAAGCACTTTGTTCAGATAAATCATTTTCCCTGGTATTTCATTTCTTTCTGTACAGCAGTATCCTTTATCAGAATCAAAAGTCTAATTCAGATGGTGCAGTAAAGCATAAGGAATTGGGATAAATTTGCGGGACTTACAAACAGGGATTGTTAGTGGCTTCAGCACATCACAGTTTGGTGCAAATAGTCATAAAAAGCCATTGACATATTCAGCAGAACAAAACATTACTTCACTACAGTTGATCACCTTATTACCTAGAAATGTCAGTAGTTAGACTGGTTTTGAACCATTGAGCTCAATGTGACCAAAGTAGATAATTTCAGCATATTTGACCGAAACAGCTGTATTGCAGTCATAGATTGAGATTCATTCTAAAATATGAAACATCTAAATATGCTACTGGACAACTTGAGTAGTTAAAAACCAATCGAGGTGGTCTGTAGATCCCTCCAGCCAGATCAGAGAGATCTAAACAGTGGACGACCGTTCCACTCTCTTGGATGGAACCCATCAGTGGTATACCCAAACAAATCCAGCAGACGAAATGGAAATGTTCAGATCACCTGAATCTGGTTACCTGACATGAAGATCGGCCCAAGTAGTTTGCAGCTACTCAAGTTGTTCAGTAGCGGCATATTTCGTTAGTTCATTACACTTTTGTGCCACAGATCTTGGCTGTGTGGTTTCCAACACAGTTGGGTAGTTAGGAAACTACTCAACTTCGACAAATGTCGATGTGGACTATGTAGTTTGCAAATCATTTACAAACTTATTATCCTAAATATGAAATCTACTTATCTGGCTTCCAGTATATGAATACGTGACAATTAAGAATCGGATGCATGAGCTCAACTTACTACTCATATTTTCAAGAGCTATCCACTCACAAACTGTATTAAACATCAATTATAATACCAGCTGCGAAGACAATTTGATGTTCAACAAGATTACATACAGTTAATAAATATGATCTAAGGAGTTCTATATGTGCTAATTTTTGAGGTAGTAGGCTGGTTATTATGTGAAAATTCCTTGATATAAAATGAAGGTATAATTTTCAACACACTTTCCTCAACAATTCTTCTTTGCACTGCCTAAATGTTACTGACTTAAATTTTGTGGACCACATAGATGATATATAGCTAGTAAGGGTTTTGTTCATAAAAGAGGTCAGCTTTACGACTTTTGCCCACTGAAAGGGAGACTCAATCCCTTTATACACCTCAGTATCATTATATATCAAAACAAGTTTTATTCACTGGTAACTAACTTTATTTAAAGTGCACAGCAGCATAACAGCTGGCCACTACTAGTATTTTACATATGATACTGTTGTGATGAATCTGCTTGGTGAAATGACATTTATTTTTGAGTGGCTCTTGAACCTGCTAATTCATTCCTCATTCAAGACAGTATTTTGATGTGACACTTTCTTAGTATTCCATACCCCACGACAATTAGTTGGTATTCACAAACTGGAATATGCGACAAACTGGTCAATACAGGTAGAGGTTTTAACGCTTTCACTACTGATTTTAGGCCTATCTTAACATTATAATTCAACTCTAAATTATTTTTTTGACCAAACACTTAACGTAGAAAATTAGACGACGTGTAGAAAATATATATGACGTCTTCATACAGATTTTCACTTTATGATAATGTAATTTTCAATATTTTTTGAAATCCCAGGCTATCGTATGTGGCAAGACACCTACTCACTTGTCGATGGACTTGAAATGCCAAGTGGTATTGATGAAATTCATTGTATTCATGGCTCGAATTTGAGTACCACAGATAAAATTGTCTACTCCCCCCCTAACCTCTTTCACAATGGTTTCCCAGACCAGGTACCATTGTTAGTTCCTGGTAATGGAGATGGGACAGTCAGTCTTCGTAGTTTGGAATACTGCAAAAATTGGCCAGGAACTAAGTATTACGTGCTGTCTGGGGCTGAACATGTTCACATCATGAGTGATATACGCCATATTAATATTATCCTCCAAATTCTCGGTGCAAATATAACTCATGCTTAGAGGTAGTTTTTGAGTTTTGACCTGTGATGTTCCTCTGAATGTTTAAATTTTTGCGTGGAGTAAAGCTAATAAATTCTTAAAGTGACAAAATAATTGTGTTGATACTACAAGGCAACTTCATACATGAACTTAGAAACATTGGACGCAGTGAAAATGTGATATACACCTTTTTTATTCGACGTTTTATGGTTATCATGACATGTGTTTACCTTTTTTAAAGTTATAGGTAGTTAATGCTGATAATCGTTGACCTTACTTTTAAGGCTTTCGTGTGCCACGATATAATACTGATTGATTCATTTTGAAATAATCAATTAACGCATGTCTTTTACATCAGTTGACATCATTACTACTTAGGTTTACTGATAAAGTTCTCCCACATTTTAAAGTACTTGTGTTATTACTAACTTTGTACTAGTCTGTGTTTGGTGTGCACATAGCAAGAATATAACAAACACGCATGACTGCACTCATGGACTTTAAATTGCGTTCAGAACCAGAGATAACGGTTCTTACGTTCGATCAAGTTAAAATGACATAAAATGACATGCTGATTTAAGTTATTGCATTTCAACTTTGAAATTACCTGAAAAGGAAGGAATGTATGGTACACCGACAGGCAGTTAATAGATTCAAGATTTGCAAAAGGATAAAACTTAGATGCATACACATTACTTCAATGCCTAGACTTTAATAAATAATAATAAATATAGTACACAGTGTCCATAATCCAGAGAAGCAATTTTAGATGCAACTTCAAAATAATTTGCAAATATTCTGGAGTTTTTAATACATAAATCTAGGTGAAAATCACATGTCTCATGTGGAAGAAATTCACTGTTTTAGATCAACAAAAACATATAGTAATGAGTTGGAGAATTTTATTATCGTGTCCCCATTTGTACATTTTGCTTATCTTGAATTCTAATGATCTGAATTCATACCTGTTTCCTTTAAGCTTCTTATGGTTATTTGCTACTTACCTGAGTATTTACTTAACCAACTAAGACACTTCTAGGAGCATTTAAATCAATGAATCTTAAGCTCATACTTTAGAAAAAGATGGTTGCTAAATCTCCATTTGTGTACCGGTAAAAATAAATAGGAATGCTAAAATGAAACCTTAAATCCAGTCCCTAGTTCAAAGTGGAAGGCCTTGTTTATTCGCCTGTTGTGGGGTAACGAACGCATTTCTACTAAGACTTTGGTGTTGATAGGATTCACCACTTTCACTAGTGGGAGACTTAAAAGAAGGGAAACGAGCGCTTATATCAGACCACATTTTGTCTCAGTAATGACCAAAGATATGTTAAGCTACATTCAGTGTTCAGAAGACTCTGCATCCTGTCAGCGTCTTCACCTAACAGGACTATGTCATCTGCATATTCTAGATCTAAGGAAAATTCACCTGTGATCGGGTCAACGTCTCTGTAATTAGGTGACGAGAGGGAAACCTCCATAAGAATATCTATGATAAAATTAAATAAGAAAGGGGATAGTGGACATCCTTGACGGACACCACTTGATGAGTATAGCTCCCTGGACAACTCACCATAGGCTCTAACATGCCCACAAGTATTCGAGTAGAGAGCTTTCAATAACGTGATGTACTTACTAGGCACGTCTTTCAGTGACAGACACTGCCATAAGACTTCTCGATCAACGGAGTCAAATGCCGCCTTCAGGTCGAGAAATACAGCTATTGTCGGACGTCTGTAAGCATGCCTATGTTCCAGGACCTGGCGCAGTGTGAATATTTGGTCGATACATCCACGGCCAGGTCTAAAGCCTGCCTGGTTTTCTCGGGCTTGCTGTTCCCGGGCTCCACTCAGGCGTCGGAGAATTATAGAACTTAGGATCTTACAAATAATGCAGATGAAGAGAAGAAGGAGGAATTCTACAGTCAACTGCAATCAACACTGGACAAGACCTCAGTTGGCGACATCAAAATTCTAATGGTTGGGGCGGCATGAATGCCAAACTGGGAGGGGACAATACAGGAAGAGAACTAACCATGGTCGAGAAGCGCTCGGTGAGGTGATGAACGAGAATGGAGAATTGTTTGCAGAATTCTGCGTATTCAACGGTTTGGTGATTGGAGGCAGTGTGCTCAAGCACAAGGATATCAACAAAGCGAGCGACATGAATTTCACCAGATGGACACACTAGAAATCAAATCGACTTTATCTCAATCTCAAGAAAATTGAGACGCATTCTACTTGACACAAGGTCAAGAAGAGGAGCAGATGTAGGTTCACACAATTCACTATCTAGTGCAAGGAACCTACCTTCCAAATCAAGTTGAAAGCCTTCAAGGAAGCTGGTGATAGGCCACAGTTCAAGTTCAACACTAGGAAACTGAAGAACGAAACTACAAAGGAAATCTTCACGGCAGCCATCAAGACAAAATGGGAGATATCGAGGAACATCCCTGAAGAAACCTGTGTGGAAGAACACTGGAAGTCTTTGAAAGAGATGTGGAAAGAAACCTACACAGCCGTATTAAGAAGGAAGAACAAAGAAGACAAGGAATGGATCTCAATGGATACATGGAAGCTGATAGAGAAGAGGAAGATGGTGAAGCAGAAGCAGAACCAGTGCAAGATGCTCAACGACAAGAGGAACTGAGCACAATGTATAAAACACTACACTGGACAAAGAAGTGAAGAAGAGTGCGCAAAAAGAAAAAAGACACTTCTACAAGTGAAGCAGAACAGGCTGCAGGTAAGAGCGACCTGACAACATTGTATCAAATAACCAGGTTGCTATCTGGGAAGAGATCAATGCAGACGAAACCAATAAAAGATGATGAAGGAAATTTAATTACGAAAGAAGAGAAACAAAGGAAACAATGGGCCGACCACTTCAAGAAGCTCCTGAATCGACCACCACCACCACCACCTGCACTTCGTCCAGAAATACCACCTACAACCGCTGAACTACAAGTGAACATAAATCCTCCAACAAAAATGGAAGTCCTGAGCGCCATAAAGCTACTGAAATGTGGGAAAGCAGCAGGACCAGATGGGATACCGCCAGAAGCACTGAGAACAGATGCAGAGACAACAGCGGACATGCTCACACCACTATTGCAGAAGGTATGGAAGGAAGAGAAGGTACCTGGCTAGTGATTAGAAAAAGGGTTACCTTGTCAAACTACCGAAGAAGGGAGACCTCAGTGTTTGCAAGAACTGGTGCGGAATCACTCTCCTGTCCACCCAAAGCAAGCAAAATATTAAGCCGCATCATCCTGGAGAGGCTTAAAAATGCACTGGATTCAAAACAACGACCCGAACAGGCTGGCTGGCTGGATTCAGGAAGTACAAATCATGTGCAGACCAAATTGCAACGCTACACTACGTATCATCATAGAACAGAGTATAGAATGGCAGTCAACTCTACACCTCAACTTCATCGAATTTGAGGCCTTTGACAGCGTCGACCGAGAGGTAATTTGGAAACTGCTTCATTACTACGGAATACCGCAAACCTTTATCAGCCTCATTCAACAACTATATGAAGACGCCACATGCCAGCCAAGTCATTCACAATGGGAAGCTCAGTGATGCTTTTGAAGTGAAGACAGCAGTGAAACAAGGTTGCCTACTATCCCCCATGATATTCCTGATTGTGGTCGACTGGATCATGCAGCTAACAACTGTGGGGAGCGAGAAGAGGGGGATACACTGGACTGCGGAAAAGAACCTAGAAGATCTGGATTTCGCCGATGACTTGTGCCTGATGTCACACAAACTTGAAGATCTACAGGTGAAAACTAACAAGTTGGCAGAAGAGGCAAGGCAGCGAAGACGGGACTTCAGGTGACTATAGAGAAGACAGAAGTGATGAAGATACCTCACCACCACCATCAACAACAACAACAAACTCCAGTCACCATCAACGGGAGAAACTTAAACGAAGTAACCTCCTTCACCTATCTAGGAAGCACTGTTTCAACTACAGGCGGCACAGACAGGGACGTCAAAGTGAGAATCGGAAAAGCAAGACAGGCGTTCATTAGCCTGAAACCAGTGTGGAGATCTTCTGCACTCCACTCAGCATGTAGAACAAGATACGGATTTTCAACACCAACGTCAAGTCAGTGCCTCTGTATGGTTCAGAGACTTGGCGCGTTAAGAAAGGGATTTCCAACAAACTACAGACATTCATCAACAACTACCTACGCTCACTCGATACCGAAGATCATATCGGATGGCTAGGAAGAATAAGCAACAAGGAACTCTGGCCTGTGTCTTTACATTTATGGTGCGTAGTCGCTATAGCAGTCCGCCAACTGTCTTCCAGACGGCAACCAGGAGCTTCTATCCATCTCTAAATTTCTGGGCCCCATGGAACACTATTTCTAAAAGGCGATTGTCAGTAGCTTATCCGGGAACTAAATGCTTCCATCATATGGTTAAAAGGAATGCACTCCCCAATCACGCAGATCATAGACGTCTCAAAGAAGTCATTCAGATGGGGAATGAAAACACTTCTACAGGGTTGCTTCGACGTCTGGTATCCACCTACTAGTTTGTTCTAGATATAAGGTTCTTCAAAGGACAAAGGCGATGTAAAAGACACACTGCCACATCTGAATTTGAAGCCGCAAAACCACCATCACTGAGTTCTCAAAGAAGGCCATGACGCAAACGATTTATGAATAACTGTATGGATCGACATGTTTGGTAACTCCACTGTATTTTAATCAGTTTTCGTTCGTTATTTCTTCATCAATGATAGCCGAATGAGTTGACGACAAACTACGAACAATACCCTTAACAAATTACACTGGTTCTCGGGATGCTGTGGAACTTATTGCCAGTCCTTTTACTGGACCAAGTAGGAATCCAGATCTCAGACAGTGGTCGGAAAGCTGGTCGCTTTGCTAAGAAGGTGAGAAGCTAGAAAGGCGTGTTGGCTACTCCAAGTGGATTTTCGGAACTTTATGAGTAATTTCATCAAACACATCACCACCCACTCCATCTCACCGATCATTTAAGCTTAGGATTGTATCCCATCGATTGCCATCCTTTTGAAACATGCTTCCGGAAGAATGACTGCCTTGAGGCTGATCAAACACCCTCATATATCACGAGACAAAGGTCTCGGTATGAAATTCACCACTGGCTACACAGTAGCTTTAGCCGTAACGTGGGTTCCTTAGTTCGGCTGCACTCCTTTTTTACTGGCAGAGTGGATCATTAACGCTTTGGAATTCGGTTCCCGTATCTTGAATAGATTCTGTTCTTCTATAATGCAAACTGGTGGCAAAAATAAGCCATTTAACGGGTCCTTAATGTCAGAAGAGATTTTCATGCGTAGAGAACAACTTAAAATTTCATAATACTTTGTTTTGTAACGGTGAGGATAAAGTAATTTTTCGCGGTTAGTGTGCGTGACTCATGTGGCTAGCGTGATAATCTCAATTATAAGGCACAAACTAAGTCAGGGGTCAGAGATGCAGAAAATCCTCCCTAAGCTTGTGATATACGGAGTGACTTCGTATCGGAATTGAGAAACTGATTAGCCGATATATTTTGGTTAGCAGCCCATCCAACACCAGATGTTTGTCAATCAGTCTAGAAGTGTGGTGGAAACTAAACTTAATGACATGGGCCAGACTATGAACCATCAGCTGTACTGTGGGAATGTATATAATTACAGCCCTGATGCCATCCCTACTGTTGAGCCTCATCAAAGTTCTTTGGGATCCCGAACAATATATATGACCCATGGTTCATAGGATCGTTTCACCCTCCAGAAACACGATCCTGAAGCTACAATCGTCGATTTACACCGACCATAAACCACGCTGTGCGTCTCCAGTAAGAATGAACAGCGCACCAACTACGAGTATGCACACTCAAAAAGCAAGTGATCATAAATCGTGGTACAACAAAACTTCACTGGTCATGTCGCCATTCACCACTACTGAGTCCCATCATGTCCGTAACGCAAGTGGCACATAGTCTAGTGAATAAGTATAGGAAACTTCTCTAACCAACTAGACGCACACGATATTGTAAAACCTTTCACAAGTCATAGTAACCTTTTCACACTTCTGCTCATCAATGCACGGTCGTTGCGGAAGAAAACTTCTGACTTGAGAAGGACAGTCTTGCTAACTAAACCTACAGTGATATTAGCTACTGAATCACGGTGCCCTACCTTAGTGCTTGACATAGAATTGTGCATAGATGGCTATACTCTTTATCGCACTAACCGGGATCATAAGCGTGGAGAAGGTTGCCTGATTTATATGTAGTTTTGCCGCAGCTAATAAAATTGAAGATGGTACATTAAATGATCTACCTGATTCAATATGGGTTAATATAAACGGTACTAACTATAAAATCCTCGTAGGCTGTGTCTATAGAACACCATGTTCATCAAGGGAAACTGATGTGCTTATTGCTCAATCATTTTCCCATGCTGCATCCATCAGTATCGACTTCAAACTGGTTGCAGGAGACTTTAACTTCCATGAAGTTAACTGGGAAATCAGCTATGGTCAACAACGCTACGACAAAATACTAACCATCCTAGATTTCCATGGATGGAAACAATATGTCCATTCACCCACACGTGGGAACAGTACGCTGGATCTAGTGTTGTGTCGTGACATCGTAACAGTCACCACGTACGTTTGTGGAGAATTCGCTAAGTGACCACAGAATGGGTTTCTGTTGCCTACCAATCTTCCCTCTTCGTGAGGAAAACAAAGAACCTCTGAGAAATATCTTGTATCCTAGCTACAAAAGTATGGAATGGGAGGTATTCATCGAGCTCCTCAGGTTCAGCTCATGAGATGAGTACTTCATGACAGCCTCCTTAACAGAGTTGCTTTCGTTTTTTTACAGAAATATATATATCGTTGCTCCTACGAGAGCGGTTAAGGTGAAGAAGAATGATGACCAACGCATCCGTCGAATACTTCGCAACAAATTACAGAAACTATCTGTGCTATATCAAACCTCCAAAGACTTTCTAGTGTTGCATTCGATCTACGATACTTATCAAGCAATTAAGACTACGTGCACGAAACTCAATAAACAAAGAGTTAAATGCCCTCAAAAGTGGTTCTGGGATACATAGTCTGACCTCTCTTCTGAATAAGCGTAAGCAGGCATCAAGGGACAACTTATTTATTACATAACGGGATGGTCTGCAACGATCCCCTCGAAATTTGTGAGCTATTTAGCGAATCGTTTGCAAAATTCAGTCCTGGCACACTTAACCCCACCACTTGTGCACTCCTTACTACAGGTTTGTGCGCCAACGTGGATTTTACTGTCAAAAGTATCACAGAGGCTATCATGAACTTGTGACTATCAAAAGGTATGGGAACAGAGAAACTTAATTCAATTGTCACCAGAAACAGTGGTGACGATATGTCTGTCTTCTTGCTTAAGATATTCACCTTATCAATGGAAAGTGGCGTATATCCCACTGAATGGAAAACCAGCCACATAAAGCCTCGCTACAAGTCCGGGAACAAATCGAACGCCAATAATTACAGACCCATTAACATAACACCGGCCCTCTCTAGAATTATGAAAAACGTAATTAGGAACGTCTCTGATTACTTATTAACAGAAAACCTAATCACAAAGTCTCAGCATGGTTTCATAAAGAATAGGTCCTTTGTTACTAGCCACTTTGATTTCTTCAACTTCATCACTAGCAACCATGAAGCACGCAAAATCATCATTGTTCTATACTTTGATATATCAAAGGCATTTGATAAGGTGTCTCGTAATACACTCTTTGATAAGCTTCAATCAATTGGTATTTGCGGCCCTTACCCAGTTGGATAAAATCATTTCTTAGTGGTCGTGCTCAAATCGTGAAAGTAAACTCCGTGCAGTCTGAACCTAAACATATAACTAGCGGAGTTATATAGGGTAGTGTCCTAGGGCCTCTGTTGTTCGTAATTTATATCAACAGTGTGTAACACTGCTTCAGTGAAGGCAAAACATTCCTATACGCCAATAACTTGAAGGTTGTGTACGCTTGTCACTCTCATGAACTACGTAATACTCTGGATACTGCCCGACAGGAACTAAGTAAACTTACATCATGTTGTGCTGAGTCCCACCTTGAATTCAATAATGACAAATGCGATTGGCTTACCATAGGCATCGACAGCCATGACCTGACCCTCGAGGTATGCGGAAAACAGCTACCTAGACTAGCTTCTGTGCTAGATCTTGGCATCAGGTATTCCAAAGACTTGACATTCTCGGAACAAACAGCATATATCAGATCCAAGTCACGGAAACTCTTGGGATGTATCATTCGTAACTTCTATAGCACTGAATCACGGGATCTACCTTATAAAATGTGCGTTCGCCCACTTTTAGAATATTGCCCGTTTATTCTCAGTGGCCTCCACAGAAGCGACAAACTGAAAGTTGAAGGGGTACAACGTTACTTCACCTTAAGAACATTAGGAGCTGACTCCAGTCTAGACTACACATATTTTATTTTAAGTTGCTGTATCAGCACTTGCGGTATACCGGTTCGCAAAGCAAGCTAATTATAACGTCTACATACAACATGCGTAACCATAAATTATTGGCTGAAACTGAGTGTTGTACGACCAGCCTGCAAGATGATTCCTTCCTCAATAAATTTGCGCATATCCGGAATAGGTTTCCAGAAGAAACCCGTACGGCAAGCTCGTTAACACTTTTCCACTTTTCACTTAATAGACTACTAATAAACAATGAGTCTATCGCCCAGTTGGCCACCATTTATGCACCCTGGGATAATAAGGACGTACTTGGACCTCTGAATATATGAAACAGAACTATTATAGTCCTCGAGCTCCGCTTACACTGATGGATATACGATTGCTTACGGGGGTGTTAGTACTGGCTCCCCTCCTCACTATGATGAAATTTATGTGCACTGGTCTCCGCTCAAAACTACTAAGCTATACCCCAGATATAGAAAATTTTTAAGAACCTTATAATTGAAAAACTATGTAGTTAATCATACGTGCATACAAGAAAATGTACATAAAGTTCGAACAAATCTAGAAGTATAGGAACTTCTCACTTTTACGAACTGGACTGCGTGGTAATTCCCTTTTCCATATCTGTTCGTGCTTCTTATTTCTTTTTTATTTGCAGCAACAGCTCTATGAGGACAATAGATGCTGAATTTCAATCTGAATATATCTACTTAGGGAAATAATACCTGCTGTTTTGACTCCAAGAATTATTGGACTGCTCAAAATTTTCAGAGGTTTCTAAAACATCTTCACGATTAACTTACCTACTGGCCAGAATTCTTAAAGTGACGAACCGTCTCAACTTTTCCAACATTCATTTTATTATTATTATTATTATTAGTCCCTTGGGTTCTTAGTGGAACATAGGGCTTCAGTAGCACGTCTCCAGTGACCTCTGTTCTCTGAGATCTTTTGAACCTGGTTCCACGACAGCCCAGAAGCTCTCATTTCTTCCTCGCACGACCTCCTCCATGTCACCCTAGGACGTCCAACTCGTCGCTTACCATGGGGATTCCACTCGAGGGCCTGACGCGTGATGTCCTCAGTCGGCCTTCTCAGTGCATGCCCAATCCATCTCCACTTCCTCCTGCATATTTGTTGCGTGATAGGTTCTTGGTTAGTTCGTTCCCAGAGCTCCTTGTTGCTTATTCTTTCTGGCCATCTGATCTTCAGTAGCGATCCAACATACATAGTAGCCCAAATATTCTGAACAAACGACTATTCATGACCAATTTAGCTAGTGGCTTGGAACACGACATACCTGCAGTTGTCCCGAAATTACTGTTTTCTAGTATCGATTGGTCTTTTCTTGTAAAAGTTACCATGAATCAAATACACTTCTCGCTACTTACGCTATTATGAAAGATGCTTGAAGCCTATGTATAACTGCTGCTTTTAGACCATTAACTGATTCAACGCGTGTTTCTATCCAAAACTACAAGTAATCTCAGCGGGATTAATGTACATTACCTTTAAACATAACATGGTGAACTGGAAGTACATTGATTTAGACACCCACCTTGGTTATATAAGTGTGGATACTTACTGATGCTTCTGATAGTATAAATTGATCCTTTGTGGTTAGGAAAGATGAAAACTGAAGAACATTCTAATGAAAGGACGGTTATATTACTCAATAACAAACTATGCAGATGGACTAACGACGCCGGCTGGTTATAACGCTTACCTTCGAACATTGAGCGCTTTTGTTATTGTTAGTGGAACCTTTCAGTGTAATGCCAGGTGGAAATTCATGCCAGTCTCATGAGTTGAAGCAAGTTTTGATAAGTTTATGAACATCAATAACTTGGTATTTGGATTGTATAATATCAAATACTATTCTGTAAACTATCAAGAATAATGAACTGGTATAACTCATGTTAAATCCATTATATGATGATAAGAATTCTGACTGACTTCATTTTGACGCTGTGCGATAAAGTGGAATTACAGCGATTTTCTGATGTTCTTAATGCTTTAACTACCTCCTCACTGTATTGATCGGAACAGTAAAACCTCGTAGATTTTTCCATACATACCAATGTGATGACTGTAAACTGGCTTCTCTCATGTTAAATTCCAAAGCTGAGAACAAAATATTTATTCATTATTATCTACACCCAGCCTAATAAGATACGCCGTTTGGGTTGAACACGAAGCGGCTTGATTAAAAATATTTGCCAACTTTTTCACTGTGAGACTAGGTAAGCTAATCAATTTTCTCCATGCAAAAACAGCGAAAGATAAATCATGGAGTGTCCGCAAACGGATGTATGTCCACCTTGGCAACAGTGCCAGTGACAACGAGTATTTTAAATGAATGAGTAGCGTCACACGCTTCCCCAAAATTAATGGCCTAGGGTTTGACGAAATTCAACATCGACGGTGACCTTCATATTTTAACTGGACTCACTAAGCTGAAGGCATCATAAGTTTACATATATCATGAGTCATCGTCCACAACTCTCAAGCTACAGCCATGTCCAGTAGGATCAGGCAAGGACACCCAAGTCCTAAAGTTCCGAAGAGATTTCGACGCAACGTCGTCGATACGTTGCACAGACTGTCCCATCCAAGTGTACGAGCCACCATCAGGCTTATTGCACAACGTTGGCTGTATACTGAGATTTAGAACCAGTCTAAACGGGTTTCAAGAAAAACTGGACGCAGCGGCACTCCTTGGCATTCTCAGCACCTTAACTAATCTATCCTAATTCCCAAGAAAAGCCTTATGGAAGAACTGTCGTAAGCGGGCACATACCCATTCTACCTTCCGATAGCAAAATGCTAAAGATAATGTAACCACAAGGGTCACGTATGTTTAGTCCACCTTCTCACCACCAACTTCCGCAGGGTGCAAAAGAAACGAACAGTGGGAAGTCAATCTTCTACAGTGTCAGTGGATGCTTTAACCCTTGTGGGTTTCGTTCTGACGCGTAGACATCTGCCCATCGAATCGACGCTCACTATGTTGGTATCCCCTCCTACACGACTGCAGCCTTACACTCGGAGTCCCTAGCTCAGCCATCCATAGAAGTATGTCTTAACACTTTCTCAAGAGTGACGTTTTTACTTCAGACTAATAAATGAACTGCTACCAACAGCCTTTTATTTCCATTTCGTTGTCAGCATTTGCAGATGGACAAGGCACTGATTATTTTGGTGCCGGCATGCACTAAGTTGGATAAGATTAGTCACGTGATAGGCAATAAAAATACGACCGGCTTTCTACAGATCTCGCATGATAGTAATACATGAAACGGACACTCTAAAAAGGCGCACATTTTCGTCAAGAACACTCAGATTACGAATCGCCGGTGTCCGGATAAAAGCGTTGGGTGTTTGCGCTACTTCCGATTGTGACAAGCGTCAACAATTGTGGTGGGTATATGGCAGCATTACCACGACTTTGTGGCAAACCATCTGTGTTAGTGGATGGAGTGCATGTCAACGGGAGATGAAGCAACAAATCACTCCACAGGATGCCTTGAAAGGTTTCTCCGTCATCCGGACCGACTGGAAAATTAGGAATGAAAACCTGATGGTGGCTGGGAGTCCAGTCAAATGATGGTCTCTTGATATATGCCTAACCTCACCTAGGGAAAAGTGTGCAGCGTGAAATTATCTCTTTAATGCCATTGGCTTAGGTTTTCACGAGACTCGACATTGATACCAGCCTCCGCCGTCTATACAGACTTGATGAACTAAATGTACATGTTCGGGTATCCACGCACAATGGCTTGTTGTCATGTTGCGTTGGGTCGCCGATAGGAAGTCCTTTAGCCAGCTAGTCAGAATGGATCGGCATTTCAGGAAGGACCATCGACTAAACTGTTCCACCTGGCTGCTCTGTCGTATTCTTCCTTGGGTATTTTAGGCATACGAGCAATTGGCGACTACCTTCTGCATCTTTCAAGCACGCGCCAGGACTGATTATCCATCCAAAAGGTTAGTCCCGACAATGGAAGGGAAACTCCTAGTACCTGCGTCTAAAGTGCTATGTTGATACCAAAAATAGACCGCCAGGCTGTGGAAGATCACCTCAGCACGCTCGGCCATGGAAATGGTTCTTTTTCCGTAGATAGGCCGCGGATAAATGTGAAAGACAATCTGAGATGACCGTAGAAGACGCCGTGCAGTAATTTACTCGTGGGCTGCCGACAGGACGCTGTCAGGTAACTGGAGCAACAAATACAGTGGTAAAGAGTTTGGGAAGGGGAGTGCGTATCATGCAACAAATTCAACCTCCTCAGCCTCCGGATGACATCGAATCTTGGCAGCGCAAAGGTTCTCATCAATATGACCAACTGTCAGACCGACCTGTCAGGGTGATCTAATAGCCACGCAGAAACCCAATGATAGTTGCTGGTATCATTAGGACTGACAAATAAGGGCTTGAAACCCGAGCAGGGCTTCGCAGGGGTGTTTTGAGTTGCTAAGGTATGGTGGTGCCGCGGAGTTTCAGATTTGGGCGGCTGACCACCAAAATGTGTCGAATGATAGCCACTGGTCGCCCAAAATAGTTCAAGAACCTATCTACTAGGCTTGATGACACAGAGGCCTCATCAGACTATGTACCTACGAAAGTATATAAGCCTAAAATACTTACTACCAGACGACATAAACTGTTGGGGACCACGCATAATGACCTGCCGATTTCGTTAGGCAGATCGCCGTGAGTAATTCACAGCAACTCATTTTGCTCGCTAGCGTATTTCATCAGTTCACAACGCTTGTGTGTCATGGGTCACATGTTGCGGCTTTGAATAGGCTAGTCCCAAAAGAAATCCTGTCCAAATCAGGGTTCTTCACCTGGAGAATAATCAACTATACAAAGCATATGGGTGCCGGCTTCAAGTGTTGTGGGGAGGGGAGAGTCCTATTATCTGACAGAATTTTGTATTAGACTGTCAAACTGTTCCTCCGTAGCCAACTGTGAGCCTACTGACACATTGACGTTGAACAAATTGGTCCAGTTGACCCTACCCTTGCTTAGGTTGGTCATGGATGATACACACGACTTTCCAACAGGCCTGTCTCTCACGTTTTCGGGTTTTTTCACGCTCGCAGTGTCTAGGACTTTTACACTGTTTCGCCAAGCTTCTGGTGCATGTCGTCCCTTTTCGCGTAGTTGGCCTTCCCTATGTGCACCAGGGAATACTGAAATTCCGCCTAAAGTGAACTTCGTGAGTGGTAGTGTGTTGGTGATTAAATGCTTGGTTTTGTTTCCGGATTCGCTTGCGTCATCCACCATCGTTTACCTTACTTTAATCTCGGAGGTTGGCAGCTTTGGTGAGGTCGCAAATAGCTTTTTAAGGTCGTTTGTATGAGGTGCGGGGAGCCTCTGCATTCTGACCATACATATTACAGCCTTTTGTATGCTTGCCTCCTCATGGACTCATGGTACTGCTGAGGTACTTTGCTGTCACAGAAGCAATCTACTCATTAGCGACATAAGTTGCATGCAAGTGCCACACTGACTATCAGTACCACTTTGGTGCAGATGATGCAGTCGCTGGATGTTGTCGTTCAGCCTGCCTTTATTGGAAATGGTGCTATAGTTTTCAGCTAAAGGATTGTGATTGCCTTGTTCCTGAAGCTTGCCACACAATTTCCCCTTTTAGGGCAAAGTCTGGTCCGCGCCAGGAGCGGACCTACTGTGTGGCATTATAGGGCTATTCTGCGACTTCAAGATAATCGCTATGCCTGTCCCAGAGGCTGGGAGTGGCTGCTTCTGTGGGGTATCATGATTCTGCCCCACGTCCGATTGGCTGTGGTTATCGCTCAGAATGTTGTTGCGACGGTCATTTCCCCTCTTAGTGTACAACCGTACTGTCCCGGTTATGTCTCAGATCCACCACTTTGGACCCACGTAACAGTATTATAAGGATGCGTTTAAAAGTTGAAAAGATCAAAGACTGAATGCAGCGGAAGGACAGAACGAATAAAGGGAAACAATTTATGTCCGCTCGCCTTCAGGCGCCAGTCCTTTGGCGCCTTGTGCTTAGTGAACGAGATGAACTGCGAGCCCTAGGTGTGTGTGTGGAGCCAAGAAAGGTGCTTTCTGCAGAATGACGCCGGAAGAGGACTGAAAACTGGGGCAGTCTGGCGTTGGAAGCAACGAAGAGCAGTCGACGGAGGTACATCGGTGGGCTCGCAGAAATGACACTGCCGGTTTTCTCCACTTGCGAAGTATGTTGGCGAATACACGGAAGTCACATACGTCCAACTAGAGGAGTCTCATAGACGTCTGGCTCTGGTTGATTGAGTATTTTAAGTGATGGTCTGCTAACGTGGAGAAATCCCAAGCGGGAGAGACACAAACAGTTCACGTCACCGCTCGAAGCTCGCGGATCAATCCGCTCGCTTTGCTTTTTAAATGCCCCACTCTATGTCCTGCACACTTTGACGTAGTTTGCTTGTAATATAATACAAATTCTGCTCTCTTTCATTCGTCACTTTATAAAAATATTTTTCCATTTTGTCTTTAACTTCTTACCACACACCTAAATTTCTCACTACTTTTAAGTAAACGCAATGATATTCCTTCTAAGGAACCAATTAAGAGAGAACTACAAGGGTCTCAGTAATTTCTCGGTCTCTTCAAACAGCCAGATAACAGACAGTGAAGGATGACTCTGAAGCAAACAGTTATTTGCCATTCAAAACCATACGTTTCACCGAAGAAAGATAAAAGAAACCGGGCTCCAAAACCTATGTTTGACAGCTCAAAAACCTTCTGCCTACCGTACTGTGACGTTTAAAGTTTGTTGTTCATAGTTTGACGGTAATGTTGGATGCTAGACATTCAATGGATTGAAAGTTGGTGGGTATTACAATATCTTGCGCTACGTGATGGAGGGACATGAATGTAAAGTCGGGAGCGAAAAGTCAAAGGCCCAGCTTAGAGCTGAGAGAAGAGCTATACAAGTATGTATCTGAAAATTATGCTAGAATGATAGGAGGCACAAAGAGCTGCGAAAGCTGCCTTTAAAACTGCTGAAAAACCTAGAAGCAAACAAATCTCCAATGTAGCTAGTGCAGAAATCACAACAAAATGTAGTAACCAGTCATCTGTTAGCCACTAAATTTTAGCTACTTCAATCAAAAAACATGAAAAGAACATGGATGAAAACGAGATAAAATCTGGAGCTTCAGCCATTGATGCTGAAGCTATAACTGAGAAGAAGAGTAAGGTCAAATATATATTTCCAAAGATTTTCTGAAATTAGATCGAGTTAACTGTTGCGATTATTCACACCGAAGAGTCGCCGAACTTCCAACATCTAGAGCTCAAGAGTGCTGTCGTGTTCACCTGTTTAAGCACCTTGATCAACCTGATAAGCGCCTGAATGTCATTGGCTTGCTTGGGTATGTAAGTGCACTTTTGTGCTTGTTTTGGTGTTGTAATGTGTCAGCAGATCGTAATCTGGTTTATTTAGCTAACATTACATCTCCTTTAACTCTCAGTAATATGACAAGAAAATGAGTCATTGTCCTCAAGTCCCTAAGCGGCATAAATATTCAGTATCCTTAACTGCCTCAAAGAGAACTGTCATTGGATAGACCAGAAGGTCACTTTCATTTTTAAAAGTGACAACATCAACTCGTTCGTATTGGTCCATAATGGTGCTTTAACACTTACAGTTCTTTACAGGTTTCTGTTCAGTGAGGTCTGTTTGTTAACATTGCAGCACAAGAAATCATAATTGGAATTTTCGTAACAGTATATCAGCTGAACTTCTTCCGAAGTCCTCCATTCAATGTTCTAGGAGTCTAGAAAAATTGGGACCGGTCTACTTCATATGTTTAGTTGACACCAGCCTTTCTAGTAGTCGTATATGAGATGGAATAGTTGTTAACAGATGGAGTTCCTACTTGCATCTCGTTTTCACTTTCTAACCAGGCTTCAAAGTCCAGACGTAAACACTGCATGATCTGTTGCGTAGCGAACGTATACTTACCATTGTATTCTGTGTCAGAATAAACAAGTTAACTTTAACAGTTTGAAAATTCTCTCAAATCTACTATGTTAGCTAACCCTTTTTCAAACTGCAAGCAGCTGTTTCATTGCATTCGTAGGTGAAGCCTGCAGGTTTGACACAGTCGAATTTAGCTTTTTGGTTGCTATGCTAGGGGCAACTCATCTGATTTTCACCTGTGTAGGACGACGATCTTTATTTTTACCGAAGCAAAATTTACCCACACGTACTGAGGTGTGATTAGAGTCCAGGCGCGTGTTGCAAAAGCATTGACGGTCCTGAATACATTCATGCCATCTGTGGCCAACCAAAACATGACCTGTGAATCCAACTTTGTGTGGTAAGAGAAGGATATCAAGTAGCACAGTGGTGATTACTGTAAGGAGAGTCGATGCTGTTAAGAAGTAGGTTGCGAACTGCACAAGACATGTTCCTCATAATGTGGCCTGTGACTGACTGATCCTCACTGGCCATCTAAACAGATCTCTTTTATGCCTAGACGCCTGACCTGTGTTTACAAATGTCCGGTTAGCGCTACAGAATGTCCAACAAGCTTAAGGTCACTCAATCGATGGTGAAATTCATCCTTAGTGGAAGTCAGTCGTAGCATGGGCAGAAGAGATATTCCCCTTGCCGCTTCTTACTCTAGTCGAACTTTCTCATGCAACCACACGGATGACTACTGGTGAGGATCCAGTCGACGAGTCTATCCTCAGCTGTCACACTTTGTGCGATGCCAACATTAGCAAGGCCACTATCTTTTGCCACAGGACTCCTAGATAAATTCATGGTAAACATTTTTCGGCTGACGTATGGAGTTATTCTAAGCACTTTATCGAGACTTTGTACATGTTTCTTTAAAACATTAGAAGAATGGCTTTCCAGAGTCCTAACCAAACTTGACTCTTCATATCTTCAAGTCCTGAACCTGAAAGGCAGTCAATATAACACCACGTATAGTTTTGAGTAGTTGGATTAGATATTGCATCATGAAGCTACTGCGTGAAAGCAACTATTTAGCGACTTAATGTGATGCACACGTCAGAATTCGAATCAGAGACAAGCTGCTGAGTAAAACTGATGGAAATAAAGATATTTGAAGCAGTAATGAAAAACCAGTATAGTTCAAATGTAGAAATAACCAAATGACAAAAAGCTTTTTTATAAAGTTTGTGTAATATGAAATTCAGTTACTTGACGAGTTCATTTAAGACTTCACTGTGTTATTTCAGAATATGCTAATGGATTGTAAAACTGGCCCGATAGCAAGACCGAAGCGGATGAATTTCTCAACAGACTACTCCTCGGGTCTTTGACTCGATATTTGATCCAAGGGACAGTGGAGAAACATTAGTTGCCAAAACCTTACGGTTGCTAGTGTCCGATTTGAGTTCATACGCGGTCTCTCAATTCCGGATCGCGAAACCCATACACATCACTGGTTAGCAATCAGTCATTTAATATCCCAATGGAACCTGAGTTGCTACCTCACATCGCAGTAGGAGACATCGAAATAAAAGCTGAAACCATTGCGAGAGAAATATAATCAAACAGAGTGAAGACATTTGAGGATACAAGGACGAATGAATGACTAAAAAGAAATGTCTTATGACAATTAAGATTATCTTTGTATGCATCTGCACCACTGAGACTGATCCTGAGCCAAACTACCTAACCTGTTGCCACCTATGTCACTTGTCATCTGAGTCCCGACTGGAAAGTATGCCCTTCTCTATACACCGCATACCAGCAATCGGAGACTTCATGCACTAATATGTTTAAGTAGGACCGTATTCGACCTTTCTCAGGCCTAAATTAAAGTCATTTAACGTAGTGGGATAGAGTATACGGTGACCAGGCATGCATAACACATGCCCCAGCCACCCGAGTCGGTAAGAGTTCACGACATCTTGAAGTGACTTAACTGTTTTGCCTAAAACTCAACATCCGACTTCCACGTTAATGACGTCGTGGCGCTACCACCATTCTTCAAGATGGGGATGATGGTGGTTCAGTGTTCCCTTTGTCATGAACGTGTCATCACCACCAATTGACGTGGAAGGAAGTCTGTAATTCTCTCATAGGCGATTGCAATGATGACCAGCTCATTTCGAGAGACATTTCAAGTGGTCTCCGGCTACTATTTTATTGCCTGATATCCAATCAGATCCTGAATGGAACATAGATAATCTCTGCAACCTTCACGGAAGTTGAAAAGGGTGAAGTGACTCTTGACTCTGTTGGTCAAGCGATTTTATGGCACTGTCTCTGACTGAAATCCGTGGCAGGTGAATGCTTCACCTTGTCGAATGCTGCATATTAAAACACCCATAGGCGTGTTAGAGCCTATGGTGAGGCTTTAAGCGAACTGTGTACGTCCAGTGCTGTTTGTCAAGGATGGCCACTCCATCTGTTCTTATTTAATTTTATTATAGAAGCACGCCGAATACATAGTTCTATTGGCCGGTGAAGTTGGTGGGCCGGAAGGTCTTCTGGACACCTTGAGTGGCCATTCGAGAGTGCTTGGGATACTTATCACACTACCCAATGCTCTAGGATTTGTCTTCGTTGGTGCATGGTTTGACGATAGAGAGTGAAGTAGATGAGTGCATCGATCACTTCACTTTCTTTAGAAGTCAGGGTAATCATGTTAGGTCAGTGACCAACGAAATCTCTACAACAATATAAACTACTCACAAGAATTTCGCAAACTTATGCCATATAGGTCAACGGCGTGACATCCAGGCACACACTGAAAACCAAGTGCACTCTGCGACAGTACCTTCTGTCCCAATAAATGACTGGGACGTCCTAATTCAAGTCAAACATGTGTAGGCTTCAAGTGTTTGCACACTACAACACTATATGTGGTGGTGGCGCCACGACGTCATTAACGTGGAAGTCGGATGTTGAGTTTTAGGCAAAACAGTTAAGTCACTTCAAGATGTCGTGAACTCTTACCGACTCGGGTGGCTGGGGCATGTGTTATGCATGCCTGGTCACCGTATACTCTATCCCACTACGTTAAATGACTTTAATTTAGGCCTGAGAAAGGTCGAATACGGTCCTACTTAAACATATTATTAGTGCATGAGGTCTCCAACTATTGCTATGAAACCTGCAGGGAAATGAAGGCTTCTCAGCTGGTGTTTAGCTGATGGCCGATATCGTTGATGAATGACTGGGCAATATGGCTCAGACAGACGGAATTGAAACTTAACCTCTTACTAAAGTCCATTGGTTCAAGTTTCTTTTCATGTGAGGTTATCAGAATCTTATCTTATTCGGTAATGCTGTCACTGAGCGTCATCTTCTTGCCAGTATCCGTAATAGACTTTTATAACTGATGAATGTTTCATAATGGTAATCCCTTCACTTTTTCCACCCACCATTTCTCGTGATCATCGTGAAGACCTTCAGTCAATTCACGTTTGAGCTGCTTTCACTCTCCATTGTGGTCAGAGTCATCTGAAATCAGTCTTCTCACTTCAATCAATTCGGATGAGGTTACAGAAATCCACTGGGTTTTGCTTAACTTTGCATGTAAGTTACCAACTGTTTTTACCGCTGTTCCTACACTAGACTGAATAACACAAGAGGTTTCACCCGTATGAGAATTGCTGTCACGTTCAAATATATCCATAGCTATCTCCCTAATTGTGCACTTGATGTTCTTATCCTCTGGTCAAGCCTCACTGCTGTCTGTTTTATTGCAGCCAGTAAGTTGCGAACATACAGAATTGCATTGGCTCAAGTTCCCATTCTTTGCGATAGCTTGCGTCGAACACTTGAGTAGACAGAGTGATATAGAGTTGGACAGGAGTGCATGGGAGGAAACGCAGAATTTGAAAATGTTCAAGCCTTAGATTACGTCAAAGAGTAAATACCTCTGTGACACGATAATCTTTTCTCAGTCATGTCACCAAGGGTTTCCTAACCGATTGATTCGTATAGTCTGGAGGACCCCATCTAGGTAGTCTTCATCTTCCTACACTACTGGAATCAACAGTCAGACTGATGTTACGTCCTCGTTTGCTCACGTTGAGCCTTCTACTAACCCTCAGTTCGTGAAAGTTCACAACATCATCAACTGACCTACCTTCCTTGCATAATACTCTTCACCTCGTCTTAACATTGCTCACATAGTGATTCTATCGAACGTTATCAATGCATTGATCCATTGAGATCAAGTAAATAGCAACACTGGTGTCCTGTATGCATGTCTCGGAAACACAGCATACATCTGTGGGTCGAGGTTCCAGAGTTCTAGCAAGAGATGCCTGCCGTTCAATTTGGCATAGAGTTTGGACACTGAAGTCGTGAAGTCGTCAACGGGGTCTTAAGTGACTGGGAGCAGAGTTTCCCTGGCTTGCATCACTAGCAATGGTAGTTGAGTGAGAAAGCTAGAAAGTTGTTAAAGGCCTAATATCGGTATCAGAAAATGAAGGCAAGAGAGAAGACAGGCGAGAAGGGTAGTTTATGGTAAGTTGGATTTGAATATTCCTTAAGCGTGCAGGTGGTTGATAGTTATCCTTTGCCCAGACAGTAGAAATCGTTTATACCGGGTACCTAAAAGCGAAAAAGGAAAGTATTTATTCGACCTCTGAGCCTATGAGACACCTACTTAAAGCCTGTTACAAAATGTTAGGATTGTTGGTTTGAGATTTGATTGTTCTAACTCGATATGAAAAAGCATGCCGTCGGCGCCGAAATACCACAAGACAGAAGGGAATTTGTTGTTTTTGGATCCGACCTTTACCAACTTCCTCTTCCCATAGGGAAATGGTACTTCTGCTTATCTATGGGAAACACCTTACTGGTGTCACATCCTGTCCACCCAGCGGTACAGCTTTATCCTGAGAAACCTATCATAGGGTAGCTATTTACCACTAAACCAACAGACCTTTCTAGCATGATAAAGCCTCAAGGAACAAGTGTTTCAGCCAATGTATCTCCTTCTATCGTTGTTATATGCAAACATGACCTTTTCCAGGTTTCAGCTATCGCTCGTTAATATGGCTCAGGATCAATTCCAGTCGTGCATATGCATACAAACCTTGTCTGCGTGTTAAGTTTTCTGCCAAATTCCCTTGTTGCTTCAATCCTCCTTGTTCTCTTTTCATGACTTTCTGCAACTTCGATCACATTCATCCACATTTCTGTTTTTTTCATCGTGGTGCATTCTGTCTCGATGTACTGATATGAGGTGTAGCAACTTGAACTGTTCTGTAGGAAATACAGGCTGTGTATTGATGGTGAATGAGTACGTTCCTGCGAGTACCTAGTGGAGAAAAGGCTCAGATTTTCATAATAAAACTGGTATTTTATCATGGCTCTATTCCTAACGTCCCTTGTGTGCTTTGAAATCACCAAACAAGTAATCTGTTATTGAGGTATAAACTATTACGTTTCCTTTGTTCCTCCAACTGATGTCAGTCTACAATGAATAACAACTTGAAATATTCCCAAATCCCCACAACTCCCTTAAAATTTAGTTAATGTGTTCGCGGGCATCAGATAAATGTGTAGTCTAAACCAATGGTAGGATTATGTTAAAATTATGCTAATAGTAATCAGATTAAGATGTGGCACTTGTTTATAAAGTAGCTGATTGTTAGTCTAAGCCATGTAAGATTTTTGTTTGGGGTCTGTGACAATTGAAGTCGATAGTTGAAAATTTGAGGTGATAGGCTGCAAAAGCGTCCAGATGTATTTACACCTTACCTTCACTTGAATCTTTGAAATTGTACAACTGTATCGTCCTCATTGTTGTTTGTATAGCTCTGCTTATCTGTCGCTGATATTTTTTTCCCCAATATAAAATATGGTAACTTTGGCTGACGTGAAATCACGCTCGTTTTGTTTTGTTTTTAACTGACATGAAAGTGGCATAAACATTATCTACCAACAACACTAATTTTGTAGTTTCAGAAAACGTCTTTACTTAAAAGAATGCTCAACTCGGATACAGTTACATTTACACTCGTGTTATAGCGCGTGACGCGTATAAAAGCATACATGTAATTAAAACGTGATACAACTGAGCAAAGTAGTTAAAATCAAATTCAGTTAGTAAAGTTTATTGAGAAAAAAATATTCAACGTAAACGGTGATACAAAAAGCGGAGAAACAATATAGACTGAAGAATGATTCCTGTCAACTGCTGAATGCAGACACTGTTTGCATGAATTGCGTTTAATATAAGGCTTTCATAATGCTCACTGTAATTTCCCAATGAACGGTTTTGTTGGTTCTCATCACTATTTTTTTTTCTAGTTGATACCACTCCCTGGACGGCATGAAGTTGCAGTGGCTCCAGTGTTCGTGGATGAGGGTTTAAGAAGGCTTCTAAAGGAATACCAGTCTGTCGCAGAGCTGGTGTGTGTCCATGAGGGGAAGGTGGTGTTGGAAACGCTATTGAATGACAAAGCGAAAGTGATATTCAACAGAAGGCAGGAGGCTCATGGAAACACTTTGTCGGAAATTATTGCACGATTAGTCGTAGAGTGTGACCACCCGACAAACAGATAAAAGGTTTGCAGTGGTTTATAAGCACAAAGCTTGGGAAATACGACGATTCGTTATTGACAATGGTGATATATATCATTTGTGTCCTTTTAAGTTGTACGTTGTGGTGGGTATGTGACTAGTGAGATTTCGAATCGTATATCGAAAACCAAAGCAGCATAGGCTTGTCTAGGCCACCTCTGGCATCATCGTAATGTTAACCTTGCTGTAAAAAGTTGGGTATGCAACCCGTTGGTGCGGGTAGTTCTGTTTCAGAATCGATATCAATAGCACAGATGTATTCACACACTATCTTCCTCCTAATCGTGTAACTGAGTTTCAGTATTATCATTACGTCTTGCTCTCTTTCTACCACTTTTGACTGTTTTCTTCTTTGTTTCTTTACCTTTCATTTTATGCGGTGTGGCAACTTGAACCAATACACAGCAATACCTGCGTTGATATTGTCTGTCTGTCTACTCTACATCTGTGAAATATTGTCTTCCCGAGCAGAGCGTGCCCGATGACTGTGTTTTCCACCACAGTTGTCTCCACAGAATTCCTCACATTCGTGGTGAGGCAGCGTGCGTTTGACCGTGATGGAGATCTTCATCTGTTGGTTACGGTCATATCTAAAAATCGACTTCAGTGGCTGGAACTTGTGCTACACATTTCGTTCCAGCGGCTCCTACGTTGTTATTCGTCGACTCAACCTGGATCTAGTTGGAAGGAGCGGATAGGTGGTCACTGTTTGACGTGATACTGTGCGATGAAGGATGGTTGTATTAGGTTAACATCTGTAGGTACCTCATTACTCTCTGGATGGAGTTCGAAGTTCATGCAACTCATTGGTCCAAGACGATAACAGAATCGAAACCAGTGGGGATAATGCTTCAATTTTCTTGTCTGTCCTGTTACTAGAAAGTAAAACGAAAGTGGTGAATACATCTTTAAGACTGTTTCTCTAACAGTCTATCACCGTCTTTGTTTTGTTCTTTTCTCGAGTTTTTGTCTTAGTGTTGCTTTATCATTTCGTGTGGCATATCACTTTTTGCCGATGTTGTACGAATTTTATGTTCTAATAATAATCATCACAATAACTGAAATGGTGGAGTAGGATTTAAGCTTCGAACCCATGGATTGAAAGTCGATTACGTAAACCAATAAGCCATGTCTCCGAAAGGAACTGATGTTCTTACTGGTGGTTTGCATCCACTTATCTTCCTTTATCATCTGACTTGCATATTTCCTCTCTCGTCGTTTCTTCTTTTAGATTAGGTACTCATTCTCAAATTCATCCTTCCTTTCTTGCTTTGGGTGTCGATTTTGACGAAGGTCGAATATGGGGCTCCAATGAGAGATGTTTAGCATTTTTGTCATCATGTGAAGAACTTGTGCGTTCATTTACCTTGAGGTCCTCGAATGACAGAATAAGTAATCATACTTGTACAAATGAAGCTCTCTTTTGCCGAAATTTTGGACCAATTCTTCAGACCCATGTTAACTTTCTTAAGCTCTGTCGTCCACTATCTGTTACGATATACAATGCCTACCAGTATCTAAAACAGACACTTAGTCGTTTGGATTCTGTGGAGGACTGGGAAGAGGTATGATATTTAACTTTTGGATACAAAATTTGGTGTTTTATATTCGTGTATGTTTAAAAGTATAAGATCAATACGTTTTATAGATAAATAAATAAATCTTTGTCTCCTCTACTTTTCTATGATTAAATAAACATGTTGCGTATTTTTCAACTGTTGTAATACTCTATTGTTTACTGAACGCAAACTCACTCTATTTTAGTCTACTTATTAGAAATATCACACAGTGAAACAGTAGCATTTACTCGATAACGTTTCGGACATAATTTATTGTCCATATTCATATCAGACGATATGATATGACAATAAATTATGTCCGAAACATTATCCAGTAAATGCTACTGTTTCACTGTGTGATATTTCTAATAAACAGACTAAAATGGAATTACACTCGACCACAGTGCCCAAGTTTTACACTTATACAAACTCACTCTATTCAAATTCATATTGAAATTATAAATGTGATCCTGTTTCTTAACTCTGTAAGCCTCATACACACATGAGGGCAAAGCATTCACAATTAGTCTCTCTAAATTCTCCCTAAAAGTCGGTCTTATCCAATATATAAAATATTCGAATAATTTTTTTCTGTTACAGCTGTGTGAACGACAACTTACAAACAAACACTCTTTAAGTTTTCCTTCAAACCTCTCTCGTTAAACTCATTAACGTACTTTTTCATAACAAATCTAAAAGAAAGATATGCTGAAACTACGTGAACATTTACTGCTCCATCAACTCACTTTTTTATTGTATCATTTGAGTATTTCACACTTCACTGAGTTCTAGTTCTAACCTATGTGTATTAGTGTTTTCAAAATGAATATTTTCTTATATCTGTGTAAATAATTTCTCAAGGAAGTCTCAAAAAGAGAGCTGTTTTTCATCCAACCTATGTTGTTTATTTTTTGATGTGAATTGTAGCAACTTGGACGGATAAACAGTTAAATAAAGTCCGATGTTATTTGTCTTTAACATTTTAGCAAAAATCGATTTTGCCAATTATTTATATATAACTGACTAAAAACACAGACGATGTAAAACTGACTTTTGAAAAACGTTTTATTATTTTCTTAAGTCTCATCACTAGTTGCCATACACTTCTTCATTTATTTTATTTTTAGTGTCAAATGAATTTTTTATCTGCTATTGACGAGTTTAGACGTAGTTCAATTTATCTGGCAGGAGCTGAAATTGTAGATCGTACGGTCAGTTTAATTCGGTCTGGAGAATGCGTCTGCACATTTGGCTATTCATCTCTAGTAGCTCAAGTTTTGGAAAGAGCATGGAAATCGTCATGTAATGCATCTGTTAATCAAGTCGATGTAAATGATTTACTGTCAAAAAAAATGAAGGCATGTTCTGTAAACAGTAGACCAGATCTGACGAGTAAAACTGCAAACAGAGTGTTCAGCGTTTTGGTTGTTGATTCACGTCCTAAATTTGAAGGTAGACGAATGCTTAGCAGACTGTCTAAAGCAGGTATACCCTGTGAATATACACATATTGGTGCTTTACCAAGTGTTGCAAACAAGGTACAAATAAATATTTGTTCTAGATTTTATGCAGTGGTATTTTATCAGATGTTTCTGCTGTAGTCCAAATGAAATGTAATTGCGCAGTGGAAAAATAGTGTGGTGTTTCTTAAATGGAAGTAAAGCTTGTTATTTGGTACGATCAAATGAACAGATACTCGAATCTCAAATAAGGGACCACAAATTTCATTCTAGTTGGTATTCTCTAGCGTATTTGGTGGATAGTATCCTATGCTCTGCTGTTTAATTACCAGCTGACTTTTATCTCCTGTGTATCTCGATCAGAACAACTATAAGGGAAGTTATAATTCTGTGCAGCTGTTTTCTGTCGTGCATAATTTTGAAACTTAACAAATTTGATTGAATGCTACCTAGGCTGTTACCTTATAAATAACACTATCATCACTTTGAATGAGAAACGAAAAGCTTTCATAGTTTTACTTGTCACACCAATGTTTTATTGGTATATAAATTGAAGAGCATATTTGCTTATATATCTTAATTCTCTTTCACGTCTTGGTATTCAGTATCTTAAAATCTAATAACTGTAGAAAATACAAGCTTTGAAATAAGTGTTCTTTTTAGGGAGAAAAACGATCAATGTAAAATGAATTGACCGGATGGCTTAAAATACGCAATCATACCAAGTCTTAGTTTGCTGATATCTTTTTGGTAAATTTCACTGAATAAAGTTGTCAGCAGTGTTTAGTTTGGAAAGGGAAAACATATCACTCAACAGTATTAATAGTTTCGATGTGGTAAAATAGTTACTTTGTTTTTTTATGATCAAATATGCTAGCTTCAAAATAGGAGATATCTCAGACAGGTCAAAATCAAGACATCGGAACAAACCGTACTAGTTCTAACCGTTAGATAGGGTATGAAAATGCAAGCCTGTGGCCACTGTAAATTAATAACAAACGATATTAACATGTTTCGAAACTGGTATTATTGATATGCTGCCCCTTTTTTTTAAGTACAAAACACCATCTATGCTAACGTGCTCGTGTCTATATTCACCACTTGTGTTGTCAAATTTGACGTTTTTGAAATTGCTCCAAGCTGTGTTGTACCATGTTAGCCTAACGGAGAAACTCTTCACAAACTGTTTGAATTTATTCCACGTAGAGCATCATCTGAACTGAAAGCGATTATCTAGTGCTTCAATTTTTTGTAACTTCACAAACTGTTTTCATGGGCATACGCAAATCTAACAGTGAAGGCTTTCTTTACTGGCTTATTTCATTTTCATGAGATACCCGAAGCCCATATAATCGCTAGTCAACACGATAGTCAAGTACTTTGATATTCGCAGCGTTGTTTGTGCGAAAATAAGTACATGAAAACATGCAATCACATATCGGAATTACGCACTACAATGTGCAGATACTCAAAAATAATTCAATTCGTTTGTAATTTAGGATGCTTGTTTGCATGTCATTGTGAACTTGTATGTGGTGCTTAGTTACGGAGGTCAAATATCTTTTCGCAACAAAGGGCAGCTAACTCTACAGCTGTTGTGTATGATATTCAACTTCATGGTTAATTCATAAATAATGCATTATTATTTTGATATTTTTCAACTTTCAGATATCCTTAGTTATCGTGGGGGCACATGCTCTTCTTAGTAATGGCTATGTATTAGGTCGGATGGGGACCGCTCAAGTGGCCAATATTGCTGCGTCTATTTCTCACGCTCCAACAATGGTCTGTGCTGAAACATACAAGTTCTGGGAGCGTGCTCATTCTGATGTCTTTGAATATAATGAGCTTGGTGATCCCGATGATATTTGGCGTGGTCCACGGGGTACCTCATCAGATTCGAAGCAAGGTATTTCCGGTTACGGTCCCACTGGTTTTCCAGACAGAAGTGGATCATTCAAAACTGATTTAAGCGATTGGCGCTCGAATTCTAAGTTAAGATTGCTGCATTTAGAGTATGATGTATTACCACCTGCAGTAGTTACAGCTGTAGTAACTGAAAAAGGTACTTTACCAACCACATCCGTTCCTGTTGTACTTCGAGTAAAACAAGCCTCCTTACCTACTGTATAGTCTGTATTTTTGTATTCTTTTAACACTAAAGTATTTTTTGTTTTAACAGGATATTTTAGGTTTATTCAATTGTAATGTACGCACAAGACCGCTATGTAATGTTTATTTTCAGATGTTACAACCCTTCTCTTTTGCAAACTTTAAATTAACTATGATTAGGTTATTACCGAACGCTAACGATTGTTTTCCTCACACGTATTTCCTTACAACCACAGTATTTGTTCATATTTTTGAAACTCTTTTAATTGTTTTGTAAAGCGATATGGTGAATAATAACTTCTTAGACAAGAAAATATGATCTCCCCAATATTTCAAGTATACTATTGTTACAAATAAAGGTAAAATAGTTATGGATTGTTTAGTTTGTCTACCTGGAACTTGATGTCATATTTAAAGGGTCATTTCTCACGTATAGAACATAAACCAGTTCTCATTAGGGTACAAATCAAAGCTTTACTAACCTGTCTGTAGGTTTTGTAGTTCAATTTTTCTGTCTGACAGTTAGACCATTCACTTTATAGTTAAACATCGAACTAATAGATTGATTTCACAGTCGCTTAAGACGTAACTTTTTATAAAAACCTAAAAAATAAGAAGTAAAGCGTACCATAAATTATTGGTTCAAGCTGATAAAATCGAAGCAGGGCACTAACAAGAAGAACCTATGACTCTAAAAAGATGCATAAAAATAATTAATTCAATACGTGAAAATGAAAAATAAGATATTCGCCAATTGAGGAGCTTAATAAACAGTAAATACATCTCACACATTATAGTGATTCATTTCAAGCCCAGTCACAGATGCCTCAGAGACCTGAGTCTAGAAACCTACAGTAAACCGAAGAACCTACATCAGATATAAGTGAACTCAAAAGCAAAAAATCTCAACGAATATGGTTGCAGTTAGCTTTTCTTGGAAGTATTTTTACTGACTGATGGAGGTAGGTAAATCGTGACTACTAACTCGACCGTTATTCATCTGTATATTCGTGAAAAGCAAATTTCTGTTAACAAGAAAAATTCGGTTTAACTACAAAACCGCGCTGATAAATGCTTTCAGAAAAGCAGACATCTTTAATGAGTTCAGTCAGTTAGTACTGCTTCAAAACACCACGCTGGAACACTTACATGAATCCATGGTTTCCTCTCAGACTTTTAGCATCCTACGATTATTTATCTCTTAGCTGAATTGTTTTGTTTAGAAATCATTATTTTCACGTACAAAAGAAAGGTTAGTTATATGCCCAACGGTGTAAGATATACGAAAGTGTTCACAAAACTGTGATAAACTTCCCATTCTACAAATAGTCCTGTGCAAATCACAACATATCGGTAGTCAGCACAGAGATGAAAGAGAAATTGGTTAGGTGTGGAAGAAGAACATGAAAGGGCTACTCAATGACAATAATATATTGATGTGTCCGCATCTCTAAGATTGATTATCAACCATATCACCTATAGCCTTCAACTACCAATATCGGTTGCCACTTGAACCCCAGCTAGGAAGCCTTCATTTCTCTACATGCTTCACATCAACAGTCAAGCATTTCATGCATTGATGCCATGCTTCAGTCTGACCATATTCGACATTTCCTCAGATTAAATCGAGGTCAGATGATGTTGTACGATAGAGTGGATGGTGACCAAGCATGCGTAACACATGTCCCAGCCACCTAAGTCGATGAAAGCTTGCGACAACATGAAGTGACTTAACTCTCCTGCCTAGAACTCTACTCTTGACTTTCGCGTTAGTGACATCATGACACCTACACACGCGCAATGCTATGAAAGCGTTGGTACGCGAATACCTGAAGCCTCATGTAATCTGACTATAATGACAATGCTTTTCAGTCATTTGTTAGAGCAGGAAGTACTGTTGCTCAGTGCAATTGTGCCTGAATGTTACGCCGTTGACCTATATGGCATAAGTTTGCGAAATTCTTGTGAGTAGTTTATATTGTTGTAGAGATTTCGTTGGTCACTGACCTAACATGATTACCCTGACTTCTAAAGAAAGTGAAGTGATCGATGCACTCATCTACTTCACTCTCTATCGTCAAACCATGCACCAACGAAGACAAATCCTAGAGCATTGGGTAGTGTGATGAGCATCCCAAACATTCTAGTATGGCCACTCAAGGTATCTAGTAGACTGCGTCTTCGCGTAAAAAGACTGTGTCATCGGCGTTTTTAAACTCAATTCTGTCCTCAAATATCATATCATTATTACAAACTAAAGGTAATTTTAGTTATCTCACTTCAATGTTCATTAGTTATTTCATATCCCACTACTGCATACCATCTCTCTCGAAAACAATTTTCATACACCATCAGTCACCTGAAAAAAAACGTCCAGTGCGCACTTATCCTAAAATTCAGTGACCCTTGCGTCCCATCTTGTTCGAGCTAATATCACACTAGGTGCCAAAGTCGAAGCCCCACTACCCAACTCAATTCGAAGCAGAACTTGTGTATGTACTGTTACGTAAGAAGATTCGATAAGTGAAAGAGTCGAAAGGAAAGAGGAAGCATGTCATTTCGAAATGTCTGCATGTTGACAGACAATAAACCCAGTATGGGATAAATCCAAGCACTGGTTCTGTCAATATACGAACATGCTTTCCGATTGAGTGCATTGGGAAGATATCCCAGTGTCGGCAAGGAACTTGAATGCACGTGTCCGGGTGCGGATTCAAAACGAAAGCCAATTAGATAACCAACGGAAATATATCAATCACACACCATGTTATGCGAATTATCTTCTGCATATTTTCAAGGATCTCAACATTTTCCTAGTTAGTGGCAACTTACGAAACAACCATCAGCGTTGATGCTGCTCATTCTCTTTCCTCTGCTAACTATGCTTGACTCAATTGGATCATACTACAGTGGGCAGCTGCGTGTGAAACTGCCTCTTCTCCCGAAGTTCCTATCTACAATATAATCATGGTTTACTCTGTGCTACTGTGGTCAAAGTCATATTTCGTAACACGTCGATGTAGGTGAATTAGTTGTACTTAGAATTGTAACAACACGTCAAACAGAGCGAGTCTCAATATCAGTTACGGTCCTCTGGAAACTGAAGATGAACTATGGCTACACTTATAAGATGTCACGAAAATAGCAAGTGGAACCTTGATAAGTGGAAGAAGTATTCAGATGTAAAATACTGTCTTCAAATCAGCCGCTTTCAGGATCCTGCTGCTCATTGTTCCTTCTTGTTGGATGGAGCAACAAGAGTTGTTTGTAAAAGCTATTCATGCAACGGATTACAGACCATCCACTGAGAGACATCGAGAGTTGTTGGTCACGACGTATGGAACTAGCTGGTTGTTGTCCCACCTTCCAAAAATCATCAGTTACAAGAGATATAGTGTGGATATGAGATATGGCGAAATACCAATTAACAATCTTCACAACCTCATCAAACGCTTGCGGAATCATTTTAAACGTTGTTTGACTGAACAACTACAACAACAAGATATTGAAGAAACAGTGTTTGGTAATGCGTGGCTAAATGGAATTGACCAACTTAATTATATGGGGATCCAGTATGAACCCCAGGCTCGTATGTGCGATACGGCATTTCATCTTAGCATCCAATGCCGCCGATGTCATTTCACAGTGGAGGCAGGACTAAGATTAGGGAACTAACTAGATTGTTCTAGAAGGCATGAGGAATCGAGTGTGTCCCATCCGTCTGAAATGAAGCCTATCTCACCGAGCATTCAATGCATTATTCTGTCACCGTATGCTTCCAAACAACTGGTCGTCTTTATTTTTGTAGACCCATGGAATGATATCTTAGTTGAAGTGAGGGTAAATGACAACCTCTCTCCATTATCTCGTGAAAACACTTCGCTGTGACACACGAATTCTCTCTCCCACTTGAAAATTCTCAGCACTTCTGTGTTTCATAGTGGATATACCCTAGGTGTGCTTCTATCTGGTAATGACGTCACGTACGTGATCCTGAAGTTCCATGACACTCGTTTGGACATCATGAAGATCATCATTGAGTAAGTCGCCACTTGAACATCGACCTCCATTTTGCTTGACATATCTGCCACATGGTTTCAGAGGCATTAATGCTGTTCACTGTATACTTGTCCTAGGATCGGGTGGGAGAAGCGGAGATGTTCTCTGTTCATGCTCCGACATCATGGATGAAGAGCAGTTCAAACGGGTTAACATCTGGATTAATTCAAAGAAAACTTGTGACAGGCGAATGAGACACTACATCATATCAGTCATTGTCAGAATTATCGACAATAACGCTATAGTCTCCGCTTGTCTTTGTGCTCATAAACTGCTGCGAAAAAAATTGTAGCCTACTGAATGTGTATTCTTCCTCTGTCTTCCCGTTTCTCACCATCTTACTATGCTTTATATTTCCTCACATACCTTGGAAATGCTGCTAACTTTCCAGTCCAACATGCGTTGTACACGTTGTACAAATTTGTGTGAAACTGTCAGTCAAGCCTTCCGGTTAGTGTGAAGAACGAAAGCAAGTCGTCAGTAATTACTCGTGATGGTGTGCAAAGTGTTTTGCCACTTTGAGCCACACATACATTTCATCAGTTCGTCTATAAACTCCTACCGAAGGTGACAGTCGGAGTATAGTGTTGGTTAACGTGAAATATGATGTACGGACATCATGGCGACTCATAGCTGGTCCTACTATTGTTTCCAGATGTTCTTGTGAACAGACAGAGTATGAGAACGCTAAGAGAGGCATCGAGTGATTACACTGAACATCCATGAGCAAATAGAACAAGTATTCAGAGTTCACCAAAATCTTTAATTCAATTCTTACAATACGGCCATCAAGATGAGAGATTCTTCGTTGCAATGCACTGCATGTGGTTTGTGTGATCACAGCTGATCGCTTAACAATCCTCATGGTAATGTTTGAGATTGTTTTGCGGACGGAAGCCACTGAAAGGAATGACAACCTACCACTGATTACGGACTTAATTATCTGAGATACAATTCACAAAAGTCTGTTGGGAAGTTATGCATTGTGGGGAACGAAATCACACAGTCGATGAGACAAGGATGATAATCATGTTAGTTAGACTAGGTATTTAAAGTTCCACCTGTTGAGGGGGAGATGCGAAACGCTGTTAACGAGCTGTACTGTTCAACAGCAGCTGAGAAAACAGACTTTCTCATGAGACATAAGTAATCCAGATTTTACTCAGCAAAGAGTTGGACATGAATAAGGTCTAGAAACTACAACGTGGAATTTCAATAGCTACGCAGAATGCTCTGTTCTCAAGATCTCCCCTAACAATGAATGACAACTCGCGATAGACAGTATTCTATTATCATCTAGTTCTG